TGCTGCTTTTAAGGGCCAAATGAAGAGATTAAAGAGCCCTCTTTTGTACCTTGGCTGAAGAGCAAAGTTCGTTGACTGCTCCTTGTAGGAAATGATGTGGTCCAAAGTGCCTCTCCTTTAATTCCTTCTCCTTGTATCCTACCTTCTTTGGGCTGGCCCAGGCTCGGTCAGGTTGTACTTGGATCTCTCTTCTGCTCTCCATTTTTCCCTTGATTGTAGGCATTTTTTCTGGGCCAAGCCTTGATCTTGCATTTTTACACTCGTGGATATGACTTCCTGTCAACTTCCTGAGCAGAGATTCTTTTCCGTGTCCTGATATTTGGAAAACGGACTCGGCTCATGAGAAGGAAACACCGGAGAGGTAGAAGACAAGGCTGACTGCAGACCTTCCCTCTTCTAGCCTTTGTTCACAATTCTTTTGCCCATAGTTTCCTACCTCTGGCTCCTTGGGCCACACAGACATCTTGCCATCCTGCTCTTTTATACGTGAGAGGCATTCAGGATACCTTCATTCTTCTCATGTAAAAGGATCCAGTGTGGCAGTTACTTATAACCTCCTCGCCATTGCAAACAGCGGCTACAGAATCTTGGGCGTTTAGAATTCCCTGTCGGCCATACTTGGGTGCAAGGGCCAGGCAAATGAAGAGTTGAATTTAGTCAAGAATAGGAAATAGACCGGTTGAGTTACAGGAACAAAGAGATTTGTGTGGATTTTTTGGTTTCTGTGAGATACAATTACACACACGTACTTTGCATTACCAGAATAGATAATTCAGTATTTTTTCTATAGCTAGATAGTCCAGAAACATCCATGACTTTTGTACACAGAAGAAAATAATCGTAATGTATTTTTTCCATTTTTTATGTCATATTGCTTCATTTATATCATTCATTAGTATGTCTATAGAGTGTAGATTGCATTTATTTTATGATTTTTATTTATTTATTTATTTTTGAGTCCCAGGCTGCAGTGCAGTGGCATGATCTTGGCTCACTGAAGCCTGCACCTCCTGGGTTCAAACAATTCTCCTGCCTCAGCCTCCTGAGTAGCTGGGATTATAAGCGCTCACCACCATGCCTGACTAATTTTTGTATTTTTAGTAAAGTTAAGGTTTCGCCATCTTGGCTCCAGACCTCAGGTGATCTGCCCACCTCAGCCTCCCAAAGTGCTGGGATTGTAGGTATCAGCCACCATGCCCGGCCTGTAGGTTGCTTTTAAATGCCCTGGTTTTTACACATGTTTTTTCCCTGTCATAGTTTTAAGGAATACAACATTGCAAGACATACTGCACGTTTTTCTCGTAATGATTGTTTCTTTCGAGACATCATGAACTATCTTGGCCTGATAGGTTTTGTGGAGGAAATCAAAGAGGGGTGTGTGAAAAAGGCACTGTGGTGAGTTGTGCTGTGTGCTCAAAGAAAGAAAGAGATGTCTGCAGTCAGCTGAAGTTGACGTGGATTGCCTTGGTTTTTGTTTTCCTAGTTAGTGCTTTTCTCACTAACTTCTCTTATAACTGTGATAAATGAGTTAGGGCTGAGTTGCTGGTGATTTCTGTGTGGAATAAGCTGGTTTTGGGGAGGAAATCTATGGATATAACATTTTCCTTGTTGGTAGGCTATTAGAGATACCTGAATAGATTTTTTTTTTTTTTTTTTTTTTTTTTTTTTGCGATGGGTCTCCCTCTGTCACCCAGGCTGCAGTCGGTGGTGTGATCTTGGTTCACTGCAACCTCCACCTCCCTTGTTCAAGCCATTCTCCTGCCTCAGCCTCCCAAGTAGCCTGGACTACAGGTGTGAGCCACCACGTCTGGCTAATTTTGTGGCTACGTTTTGTATTTTTAGTTGACACAGGTTTTCACGATGTTGGCCAGGCTGGTCTGAAACTCCTAACCTCGAGTGATGCCCCCACCTTGGCCTCCCAAAGTACTGGGATCAGTGGGTCCATCCAGAATATTTTCTAATTTAATGTCAAATTTGAATGTGGACTGGATGCAGTGGCTCATACCTGTAATCCCAGAATTTTGGGAGGCCAAGGCAGGCAGATCACTTGAGATCAGGAGTTAAAGACCAGCCTGGCCAAGTTGGTGAAACCCCATCTCTACTAAAAATGGCTGTTCATTTATATGTACAAATGATTAATTCTGAGTCTTTGCACTTATGTTCAGTGAACTGTTTTTACTCCTTTAGACCATCCTCCACCATCTCATATCTCAATAAATCCTCTTCATATTATGTCCTATCTTTTGACTGTCACCTTCTGTCAACCCACTAATACAGGTCTTGCCTGACCTATTGCAATTGGGTTCTAATTACTGCATCTCCTGTTTCTTTTCTTCCAATCTGTTTCTTGTTGTTGTTGTTGTTGTTGTTGTAGTTTTGTTTGTTTCTTTCTTTGTTTTTGAGGCTGAGTTTTGCTCTTGTCCCTCAGGCTGGATTGCAATGGCCTGATCTCGGCTGACCCCAAGCCCTGCCTCCCCGATTCAAGCAATTCTCCTGCCTCAGACTCCCAAATTGATGGGCTACCTAGTCACAGACACAAATTTTGCAAAGATAAACTGCATGTATTTTCTTTAATTCCTGATATAATATTTTAAAACGACAGAGTAAGAAATACTGTGGTGTAATGGGAAAAATATTAGACTTGATTCTAGTCTTGTGCTGTTTGCCCACTTTGACTTACAATCTCCAAGCCTTGCCTTTTCAAGGTGAAGGTTGAATAGTGCTGTTTACCTGAGTACTTCACAGGGCACATAGACCTGTGGCATGTGTGGAGCACCGAACGAGAGAAGGAATGGAAGCTCTTTGGGAATTCGAGTACTATGGAAACCATCTTTACTATTGAGTATTAAGAGTGATGGCATTCACTGCTCAACGAAATAAGAGAGGACACAAACAGATGGAGAAACATTCCATGTTCATGTTTAGGAAGAATCAACATCGTGAAAATGGCCATACTGCCCAAAGTAATTTACAACTTAAATGCTATTCCCATCAAGCTACCAATGACCTTCTTCAAAGAACTGGAAAAAAACACCTTAAACTTCATATGGAACCAAAAGAGAGCCTGCATAGCGAAGTCAATTCTAAGCAAAAAGCACAAAGCAGGAGGCATCATACTACTGGACTTCAAACTATACTACAAGGCTACAGTAATCAAAACAGCATGGTACTGGTACCAAAACAGATACAGACCAATGGAACAGAACTGAGGCCTCAGAGGAAATACAACATATCTACAACCATCCAATCTTCGACAAACCTGACAAAAACAAGCAATGGGGAACGGATTCCCTGTTTAATAAATGGTGTTGGGAAAACTGGCTAGCCATGTGCAGAAAGCAGAAACAGGACCCCTTCCTGACACCTTACACCAAAATTAACTCCAGATGGATTAAAGACTTAAACATCAGACCTAACACCATAAAAACCCTAGAAGAAAATCTAGGCAAAACCATTCAGGACATAGGCGTAGGCAAGGACTTCATGACCAAAACACCAAAAGCATTGGCAACAAAAGCCAAAATAGACAAATGGGACCTAATCAAACTCCACAGCTTCTGCACAGCAAAAGAAACAGTCATTAGAGTAAATCGGCAACCAACAGAATGGGAAAAAATTTTTGCGGTCTACCCATCTGACAAGGGGCTGATATCCAGAATTTACAAAGAACTAAAACAGATTTGCAAGAAAAAAACAAGCCCATTCAAAAGTGGGCTAAGGATATGAACAGACACTTTACAAAAGAAGACATACAGGAGGCCAACAAACATATGAAAAAGTGCTCATCATCACTGGTCATTAGAGAAATGCAAATCAAAACCACATTGAGATACCATCTCACACCAGTTACAATGGCGATCATTAAAAAATCTAGAGACAACAGATGCTGGAGAGGGTGTGGAGAAATAGGAACACTTTTACACTGTTGGTGGGAGTGTAAATTAGTTCAACCATTGTGGAAGACAGTGTGGCGATTCCTCAATGACCTAAAAATAGAAATCCCATTTGACCCAGCAATCCCATTACTGGGTATATATCCAAAGGATTATAAATCATTCTACTATAAGGACACATGCACACGAATGTCCATTGTAGCACTGTTTACAATAGCAAAGACCTGCAACCAACCCAAATGCCCATCGATGATAGACTGGATAGGGAAAATGTGGTACATATACACCATGGAATATTACGCAGCCATCAAAAATGATGAGTTCGTGTCCTTTGTAGGGACATGGATGAACTTGGAAACCATCATTCTCAGCAAACTGACGCAAGAGGAGAAAATCGAACACCACATGTTCTCACTCATAGGCGGGTGTTGAACAATGAGAACACATGGACACAGGGAGGGGAGTACTACACACTGGGGGCCGTTGGGGGGAAATGGGGGGAGGGATGGAGGGGTGGGGAGGTGGGAAGAGATAACATGGGGAGAAATGACAGATACAGGTGAGGGGAAGGAAGGCAGCAAACCACACTGCCATGAGTGTACCTATGCAACAAATTTGTATGTTCTTCACATGTACCCCAAAACCTAAAATGCAATAAAAAAAAAGAAAAAAAAATAAAAGAGTGAAGGCGTTTCATTTGTTTCATTCAGAAACAAATTTCATTCTTCTCATAGCCTGTTGTTGCTTTCACTACCTTTTTGTATAATTAAATTAATGATCTATGGGCATTCTATTTCTAGATAGGTGGGTTTGTCTGATTGCAGATTTAGCTGTTTATATATATATGTACATATTTTTAATTCACTGTCAAAAACTGCGATTTAGCTGTTAGTATCTTACCAGGCCTGTAGTTTACATCATTAAGTCTAATTGGGACTATGCCAAGATTCCCAGAAGTAATGAATTTTGGCATTCTTTTAGGTGAATCTTTATAGTATGTTCCTAAAACGAAGAATTCCTCTTCAGAGTTATTCATTTTCTGGGCAGTGATAATGTTACACAGTTTTGTGTGTACTTCAGTTATTTAACCCTGTATTTTCTTTTAATAGACAAACTTGTAGGTGTCCCCTGTGCCCATGGATTAAACAGGACTGGCTACCTCATTGGCAGGTAAGTTGCCGACCCCAGAGGGAGACCATTTTAAAGTTGTTTTTGTCTGTTTTCAATGGTAATGTAAAGCTGTTGTAAAAAATGCAACCAGTCTAGAAATACATGAAGTAGTAGGCAGTCTTGATCTCACCCAGCGATTACCACCTTTAATAATTTAGTGCACATTTTTTCAGACTCTAAAAATGTAGATCCAAACGTACATGTGATTGAATGGTGTAATAGTTAGACATTCTGTTTTTTTTATTTTTTTTTTATTTTTTTTTTATTTTTTTTTTAAAGAGAAAAAGAATAAGAAAAAGAATAAAGAGGAAGAAAGAGAAAGAGGAAGAGGGAGAGAGAATGGGGGTATTGCTTTGTTGCCCGAGCTAGAATGCAGTCTAAATACGGGTATGCCTATAATTGTCCTTAATAATGGAGACATGAAAGAAAATGAGGGAAGAGAGTAACAAACAAGGAGCCAACCAACATTTCGTTTAAACTTCTAAGTTGATATGATGTGGTAGTGATAAGAGTGTACATTTTGTGTAAAGTGGAGAGCTCTATAAATGTTAATTACGTCCACTTGTTCCAGATCTGAGTTCAAGTCCTGGACATCGTTGTTAATTTTCTGTTTCATTGATCTGTCTAATATTAATGTTGAAGTCTCCCACTATTATTGTGTGGGAGTCTAAGTCTCTTTATAAGTCTTGTGTGTCTGGGTATTCCTGTATTGGGTGCGTATATATTTAGGACCTTTAACTCTTCTTGTTGTTGCATTGATTCTTTTATCATTATATAATGTCCTTCTTTGCTTCTTTTGATCTTTGTTGCTTTAAATACTATTTTATCAGAGGCAAAAATTGTAACTTCTGCTTTTTATTTATTTATTTTTGCTCTCTGGTTGGTTGGTAAATCCTTCTCCATCCCTTGTTTTGAGTCTTTGTGTATCCTTGAATGTGAGATGGGTCTGGATGCAGCATACAGTTTTAGTTTTTTGTCCAAATTGCCTGTCTGTCTTTGAATTGGGGAATTTAGTCAATTTAAATTTAGAATTAATAATGATATATGTGAGTTTGATACTGCCATTTAATATTAGCTGGCTATTTTGCCCATTAGTTGATGTAAATTCTTCATTATATTGATGTTCTTTACTTTTTGGTATTTTTTAGAAAGGCTGATACTGTTTGTTCCTTTCTATGTGTAGTGGTTCTTTCAGAAGCTCTTGTAAAGCAGGCCTGGTGGTGATGAATTCTCTGAGTGCTTGCTTGTTCACAAAAAACTTTATTTTTCCTTTACTTATGAAGCTTAGTTTGGCTGGATGTGAAATTCTTGGTTGAAAGTTCTTTTCTTTAAGGATGTTGAATATTGGTCCCCACTCTCTTCTGGCTTGTAGGGTTTCTGCTGAGAGATCTGCTGTGAGTCTGATAGGCTTCCCTTTGTGGGTAACCTGACCTTTCTCTCTGGCTGCCCTTGGTATTTTCTCCTTCATTTCAACCCTGGTGAATCTGACGATTATGTTCCTTGGAGTTGCTCTTGAGGAATATCTTTGTGGTGTTCTCTGTATTACCTGGAGTTGAATATTATCCTGCCTTACTAAGTTGGGAAAATTTTCCTGAATAATATCCTGAAGAGTATTTTCCAGCTTGGATTCATTCTCTTTGTCACATTCAGGTACACCTATCAAGTGTAGATTAGGTCTTTTGACATAGTCCCATATTTCTTGGAGACTTTGCTCGTTCCTTTTTATCCTTTTTTCTCTAATCTTGTCTTCTAGTTTTATTTCATTGAGTTGGTCTTCGACCTCTGATATCCTTTCTTCTGCTTGATCAATTCAGCTGTTAAAACTTGTGCATACTTCACGTAGTTCTCGTATTGTGTTTTTCAGCTCCATCAATTCACTTATTTTCCTCTCTAAATTTTGTATTCTTGTTGACATTTCGTCAAACCTTTTTTCAAAGTTCTTAGTTTCTTTAGATTGTGTTAGAACAAGTTCTTTTAATTCACAGAAGTTTCTTATTATCCACGTTTTGAAGCCTGCTTCTGTAATTGGAACACACTCGTTCTCCATCAAGCCTTGTTTCGTTGCTGATGAGGAACTGGGATCCCCTGCTGAGGAAGAGGTGTTTTGATCTTGGGTATTCTCAGTCTTTTTTGACTGTTTTCTTCCCTTCGTTGTAGATTTATCCATCTGTGGTCTTTATAATTACTGTCTTTGTAGTTGGGTTTCTGAGTGGACGTCCAACTTATTGATTCTCAGCGCCGAAATCTGAGCAACCCACTGCACCGACTAAATCAGCGGCGTTAAGATTGATGGTGCTCTTCTGACTCTGCACCAAGAACCGACGCTCAGAGGCGCCGGCAAAACCGCCTTGCCGGTCACAAGAGTCGCGCTGGCGACCCGTGGGGCTCCTTCGCTGGGAATCTCCTGGTGCGTGAGCGACAAGAATTCATGTGAAGGTGTGGCGTCCTCTCGTTCTTTGCGTTTTCACTGGGAGCTACAATCCCGAGCTGCTAGTGATCAGCCATCTTGGATCTCTCTCTTTTTATTTTTATTTTTTTGAGACAGAGTTTTGCTCTTGTTACCTAGGCTGGAGTGCAATGGCGAAATCTCGGCTCACCGCAACCTCCGCCTCCTGGGTTCAGGCAATTCTCCTGCCTCAGCCTCCTGAGTAGCTGGGATTACAGGCACATGCCACCATGCCTAGCTAATTTGTTGTGTTTTTAGTAGAGACAGGGTTTCACCATGTTGACCAAGGATGGTCTCGATCTTTTGACCTCGTGATCCACCCGCCTCAGCCACCCAAAGTGCTGAGATTACAGGCGTGAGCCACCGCGCCCAGTGATATTCTGTTTTTTAATATGTGATAGACATCTTTCTTCGAAAGTACTTGGACTCATTCTTTTTAAGGGCTGTTCTCCTTTGCATACCGATGAACACCAAAGTTAGAAATGTTTGATATTATTAAAAAACATTGACATCATGAACATTTCTATATAAACAGTTTTGAATACGTACACCATAGCCCCAGAGGTAATTTCACTCAAAATAGAATTTCTGAATCAAATCCTATGTGTCCTTATGCTTTCCATGGATGTTGCCACACTGTACTGATTTATATTTGTTCATTCAGAAAATATCTCCTGAGCATCTGTTATGTGTAGGCACTGTGCTGGGTGCTAGCAAAGAGACTTAGCTGCCCTGTGCCTCCTAACAGTCTAGGGAGGGAGTAGATATTAAAGAATCACACAAATGCCTATAGCATTACAACTCTGACAAGTGCTGAGGAGGAGAGGGAACATGGTGCAATGAGAGCATAGAACAGGGAGGATTTGACTTCAGTGAGAGGACTAGAGGTTTCTGTGAGGAGATCTGAGCAACTATCTGATGTATGAGTAGGTGTTAACCAGATAGGAGCATTGTGGGTGGAATTGTGAAAATTAAGGATCAGCAAAGCCAATGTAACAGGAGAACATGTACTGTGTTGGAGGAACTGGCCAGGGAGACTGGGCCATGGGGGAATATGCCATTAAAATGGAACTGGAAGTAGGGGTAGGAGCTAAAACCATGGAGAGCTATGTGTAAGGTTTTAGTCACTATCTTAACAATAGAAAACTGTTGAATTTTTTATTGTTGTTGGGGATGAGTGTGGGAAACATAATCAAATTTCCCTTTTCAACCTATCGTTTTGCTGCTGAGTGGAGACTGCACTGCAGAGGGAAAGAGGTAGAAGCAAGGACACAGATTAGGATATGTTTGCAGGAATTAAGGCATAGTAGTGTAGTGGACCAGGGCATGGTGGTCATTTTGGTGGAAAGATACAGACATATTCTAGAGATATTTAGGTAATGTTGTTGTCAGGAAATGGTGGTGGATTGAAGATGAGAGTATGGAAGAAATGGCTGACAGTGATGGTGACTCCCAAGTTTCTGGCCCATTCTGTTGGTTATACAGTATTTTTTTTAGCTATAATGTTAATATTTTTCCCAATTTGTCTTTTCTTTGTTGTTGGTTTCTGATAAATACTCTGTCATATTGAGGAAGTCTCTTTCTATTTTTAGTATATAAAGCATTTTGATAAAAAATGATTCTGTATTTTCTTTCCTTTTGTTTATTAAATTATAGTAATGTAAATAAATATGTAAATAGATCTTCTGAAGTTGAGTCGTCCTTGCATTCTTGAAAAACGTCATTTTGTGGTCATGGTTTGTCATCCTTTAATAATTGCTGGGTTCGATGTACTGATATTTTCTTAGGATTTTTCTATCTATGTTTATACATTGAAATAGGATCTTTTTGGAAAAAACTTGATTATTTTTCATGTATATAAATGACCCAAATTATGTTGTTTTGTTAGATATTTGATTGATGTAGAAGGCATGAGGCCAGATGATGCAATTGAATGTCAGTATGAGGGTTGTCAGTATTTTTTCCTTTTTATGAAAGTTAAAGGTGGAAATGTAGAAGAATTTCTCAAATTTTGGAAACAATGTTGGTAATTCATATTGTTCCAATATAAGATAGTCTATAGATGTCTGTGGAAGTAGTGAGAGACCACAGCCTGAATAGTGCATTTCAGCCTAATTTACTTTTTCTGGGAAAGATTTGCTTTTTGTACAGTTATTTCTAACAGTTTCTTGACTCCTCAGTATTCAGTAGGTGCCAGGGACATTGCTTAGAAAGAAAAAACTACATTGAAGACCTTCAGAATGGTCCTATCAGAAAATCTGATTGATTTATTTGTTTATTTGCTTACTTACTTACCTGCTTACTTACTTATCTGAGATGGATTCTTGCTCTCATGCCCAAGCTGGAGTGCATTAGCACAATCTTGGCTCACTGCAACCTCCACCTCCCGGTTTCAAACAGTTCTCCTGCCTCAGCCTCCCAGGCAGCTGGGGTTATAGATGTGTGCTACCATGCATGGCTGATTTTTGTATTTCTTCAGTGGAGACGGAGTTTCACTATGTTGGCCAGGTTGGTCTGGAACTCCTGACCTCATGATCTGCTCGCCTTGGCCTCCCAAAGTGTTGGGATTACAGGCGTGAGCCACAACACCCGTAATTGTTGTGTTTTATGTGTGAGATTTGTGTGTCAGGGAGATCTCTTTTTATATCATTTAAGTTGCATATATCCATTCTTCTGGTACCTTGTTTATTTGTTGTATAAGATGTCAACAAATAGGAATGGGAGAAGGAAGACATTGTTATTTTCATAGGCCAAAATATAGTCACTAAATGGATGACTACATTTGGGAACCAGCAATATTGTGTGGAAATATTCTCATTAAGGAATTGGAATTCCAGTGTACCCAGATCAAGTGGTTTTGAAGAAGACTCAGAACATTTCGTGCAGCCAGTCCACCCATGAATTAGGCTGTTAAACAAGAACCTAGGTGTATTCTACATGGGATCCAGGGTCACTCAACTCCTCAGCATTTCCACACTCAGACCCAGACTTTGCATCCATGAGTCAGGTACCTCTCTCTGCTTTCCTTTTGCTAGAATTGAGGTAGAAATTAACATTGTAATTAATGAAAACACATTATGATATTGATGAGGAATTCTTGCTGATCAGTTTGAACCAGAAGATATTATTCTGCTCTGTATTTTGCATTTAGCCCTGGAAAAAGCAGTTACAGGACAGGGAATATGTGACTTTTCAGAGGCAACTGGGAAGGGGACTTAGAAATTTTCATTGATTTTTCACTGAAGCCAAAAGTTTGATGTGGCTGTCCAAAAGGATCTTATATTCTTAGGCTACATTAATGTGATAATGGCTTTTAGATCAGGAAGGTTGTTACTTAGAGAGTTAATATGAACTATAAGTAATAAAATCCTAATAGAGAAATTGCAAAGGATCTGAACAGATAAACAACAAAACCTCAATAAGGTTAAAGTGGTACATTGGTATGAGTTCTCCAGAATGATAGAACCAGTCAGGTAATAGTTGGATGGATGGATGGATGGATGGATGGATGGATGGATGGATGGATGGGCTGGTGGGTAGGTAGGTGGGTGGGTACGTGGTGGGGCTTTTTTATTAGGGGAACTAGCTTATATACTTAGGAAGGCTGAGAAGTTTCACAGTAGGCTGAGTGCAAGCTGGAGAACCAGGGAAGCTGGTAGCATTCAGTCCAAGTCAGAAAGCCTGAGAACTAGGGAAGCTGGAGGAGTAACTCTCAATCCAAGGCTGAAGGCCTGGAAATCTGGTAAGGGTTGGAGAACACTGGTGCGAGTCCTCACGTCCAAAGGCCAGGAAGCCTGGACTTCTGATGTCCAAGAGTAGGAGAAGGTAGGGTATTCCAGCTCTAGGAGAGAGCACAATTAGCCTTTCTTCTGCCTTTTGTTCTATTCAGGCCTCTGGCCTATTGGATGGTACCTACCCATGTTGAGGGTGTATCCTCCCACTCAGTCCACCCACTCACACACTGGTATCCTTTGCAAACACCCTGACAGACACTCCCAGAATTAGTACTTCACCAGCTATCTAGGTATCTCTTAATCCAGTTAGGTGAATACCTAAAATTAACCATCACAAATAGCAAGGTGATGTTTTGTAGACAGAGTCTCACTCTGTTACCCAGGCTGGAGTACAGTGGCACACTGTTGACTCACTGCAAGTGCCACTTCCCAGGTTCAAGCAATTCTTCTGCCTCAGCCTGCCGAGTAGCTGGGATTACACAAGCATGTACCACCCACTACCCCCAGCTAATTTTGTATTTTTAGTAGAGATGGGGTTTCTCCATGTTGCTCAGGCTGGTCTCCTGACCTCAGGTGATCTGCCTGCCTCAGCCTCCCAAAGTGCTGGGATTACAAGTGTGAGCCACCGTTCCTGGCCTGGAACGCTGTTTTTATCAAAAAAGAAAAAAAAATGATAAATTGACTTTTCTTTTAAGGCTTTATTGTTTTGTTTTGTTTTTGAGATGCAGTCTTGTTCAGCCACCCGGGCTGGAGTGCAAAAGCACATTCTCGACTCACTGCAACCTCCACCTCTCATGTTCAAGAGATTCTGAAGCCTCAGCCTCCTCAGTAGTTTTGATTATAGGCATTCAGCACCACGTCTGGCTTATTTTCTTTTCTGGTTTTTTTTTTTTTTTTTTTTTTTTTTTTTTTTTTTTGTTGTTGTTGTTGTTGTTGTTGTTGTTTTTGTATTTTTAGTAGACATCGGTTTCACCATGTAGGGCAGGCTGGTCTGAAACTCCTGACCTCAGGTGATCCACCCGCCTCAGCCTCTCAAAGTACTGGGAACAGGTATGAGCCACCATGCCTGGACTGAAAATTGACGTTTTTAAAAGATGTAAACAGTTTAAAAACATGTTGCCAGTGACATTTAAAATTGGTTTAAGCCTTTTAACGCACAATTACAAGAGCCATAAAAATGCTTTACCTAGTAATTTCTTTTTAAGGCTAAGGAAATACTTCAAAATGCAGAAAAAGCTGTATTAATCATTCAGCACATTTCTCAAATGCCTCACCATGTGTCAGACCCTGGGCTAGCTCAGGATGCAATGTTTTACAATGTTAATCCCAGCATCTTGTGCGGTTGGTCGTTGGTCGGTCGTGGAATGACTCGTAGCTGCTGTATTTGCAACAGTGGAGAATGTAGCTAAATAATTATTATATCCATACTGTAGCATTTTATACAGCCAATGAGAGTGGTAGCTCATTTGCCAGAAGTGAAAATAATAGGCTGCGATTCAACAGTCAGAAAAAGATGCTGGGAAAAGAATGAAAGGAAATACTAACTACTTGAATTATAATAAGTGGGACTGAGGGCTCTGCAACAGGCTGTTATTTTTTCTTTTCTGAGATTTCCAAATTTTCTTTTGTATAATTATATGAGAATTTCTGATCTTATATTTTTTCAAGTTTGTTTCATGTACCATGGTTAAAGTTGTTCTACACTTTATAATTTACGTATATTTGTTTATAAAGTGGAAGTAGCTGTGTGTTTTCAGTACTAAATAGCTTATTGTGTCTTATGTCAACCCTACATGACCTGGGAGAGAAAGTATTTAATTAGAGTAGTATGGGCATGCATTTCATGCATGTCTCTCTGTAGGGAAAGGTGGAAAGGCTTCTGGGAATCCACTCTGTGCCAGGGCATTGTGGGTAACTGAAATGTATTTTCTTAATTTAGCTTCATAACAGGTCATGAAGGTGGAACGTGTTGTTAGCCCCATGTTATAAAGAACTTAGGGAAATAAAAGTTAAATAGTTTATCTGCTAAGGTCACACAGGTAGGAAACAGCAGAGTATATATTATTTTGTAAGTATATGAATTTAAAATATTTCATCAAACTATGGTTTTAAAATAAATAAAAAATATTTTATTATTCCTAGTGATGGCTTATTACTTTTTGTTACGCTTTAAGAACGTTTTCACAGAATCCAGATCTTTACCAGAGAGGCCATATCCCTCCTCCTGGTCCCCCTGGAGAAGGTTATTCACACAGGAGGTACACTTGGAATGTGAAGCCAAGTGCCAGTCGAGCAGCCCAGGAGAGAAGAAGGTGATATCCTGACAATTACTCTGGACTATCCTGTCCAGCCTATTGGCAATGGACCCAGTGATACAAAGCTGTCCTGGAATTCCACTTGGAGACCAGAGCTGACCTGAAGATTACAGGTGTGACTTTTAATTAGATCAGGTCTAGGGAGGTTTCTTTATTGTTCCTTTATGTGTTCAAAGCTTAAGGAAGAATTATATTGCTGTTGACCTCACTAGGAAAATGGCACAGTGTTAGTGGTCTTGTGTCTTGTGAAGGTGAACTGAAGTAGTGCATCTCACTGGCCCAGGCATAGGTGTTGAGTCAATGGTGATCTATACGCCAGGGTCTTTTCTGGGTCAGCTTCAAGCTCCTGCAGTTCGCTTGGTTGCGCCCCATGTTATCAGCTGCACCTAGAACTGTGAGCCCTTGCCGTTCCCCTGGTGGTAGGTTCCCCTGTTTTGTGCTGAGCTTTCCCAACTGTGATCATATATGTATAAGGTAACCCAAACCTGTTGGAGATGAGTCCTGAATTCTTATTTTCTGAAATACCTATCTGATAGGCCAGGAGACATAAGGCCATCATCCATGGGAGATTTTGTACATTTCTTTTGGTCCACCCAGCCTAAAATTCTGCCATCTTCAACTTCTATCCAAATTTTATTCTTTTAGTCCTAACCTCTGATTCTGCGTCCTACTTCTGTCATTTCCCCCATTTCTGATTCTTTGTATAAGCCCATGAAATATCTCCCGTTTTGACTTTCTTAGTCCTGGACCACATTCCTTGCTCTTTCCTCAATTCTTCTGTCTGTTCTGCTACCATCCATCTTTTAGTTTCTTCTTGTTTTTATTTTATTTTATTTTTCTATGATGGAGTTTTGCACTTTTGTTCAGGCTGGAATGCAGTGGTGTGATCTCGGCTCACTGCAACCTCCGCCTCCCGGTTGAAGCAATTCTCCTGCCTCAGCCTCCCGAGAAGCTGGGATTACAGGAAGCCACCACCACAAAAAGCCAGTTTTTTGTATTTTTAGTAGAGATGGGTTTTACCATGTTGGCCAGGCTGGTCTCCAACTCCCGATCTCAGGTGATCCACCCACCTTGGCCTCCCGGTGTGCTGGGATTACAGGCATGAGCCACCGCGCCCAGCCATAATTCCTTCTAAGGCAGCCTTTGATCCAACCCCCCAAAAGAAAACCCACAGTCAACATCTTCTCAAAGCTCAAAAGCCTCTTTATTACTTATCTATTAATTCTATTAGATTTCTATATTAAGTTTTAAAAATGTATTATGGGAATGAATAAATTAGTATCTAGTTATTTGGAAAACCAGCTTGTATCCAAAGTAAAGCCAACAGTCTCAGCAGCTCTTAGATTCTGTAGCCGTAGTATTGAGAAATTTCCATATCTTTTTCCCTTTGGATGAAGAACTGCAGTTTCCCAAACGAGGTGTATTTGGCAGCGTTCTCACGCTCTTGCTGAGCCTTCCTCTTCATGGCCTCGCGGTCTGGCCTCTGCTCCTTTGTGATGGGCATTGACACTACTGGCCCAGAAATGTCGGGTATCCTCCACGGCCTGGATTGTAAGCTGAAGTCTTGGATTAGAAATTGATATTGAGGCTTGGGCAGTGACTGGAGATCGGTCAGAGCAGTGGAAACAGGCTCCCGCCGGAGAGAGGAGCAAGATGATGTTTTGCAGGGTGCTGGCCTAGAAGCAGCAGACTGAGAGGTAGTAGGAGGCTGGTTAGGGTTGGCTGAACCAGGTTGGGTTGCATTGGTCGAAATTGGCTGAGCTGTTCTGGCAGGACCTGTCAAAGATATGTTGGTAGGAGCCAGTTGGAACGGATTGACATCAGTTGACTGAGCTGAGTTAGTAGAACCATGTCGAGCAGGGCAAGCCACAGCAGGCCTAAGTGAGGCCAGAGGGTGTGGCCGCCGAAAAACAGGTCGAGCTTGCGGTTTGTCCAGGGTTGGAAAGGGCAAAGGTACCAACTTGACCTTCCCAGGTGGTGGCAACTCATTCTGTGATGGAGATGGACACTCTTGTTCAGCATTATCATCCAGTTTCGGTGCCTTGAGTTGAGTTTTCTCCGTGCCTTTCCCCTGACGTCGGGTATCCAGCCATGTTTGGAAAGCTGAGAATGGCCGGGAGTTCTGGGTGTTGCTTGAGCTTCCCAGAGTCCGGGAGGAAGATAATCCAGTTTTCTTGTTGATCTTTTTCCCCAGTGCATGGAATACTTGCATGGACTCTAGCATGTGCATGTCTAGGGATCTTTGTGGCTTTTTTAAGGTCTCTTGGCTAAGCTCAGGTTGATATTTCTTCCGCTTCATATTGGGAATGGCTTGCTTCTCTTCTACCTCGACTTTGGTCCCTGACTGCTTACTGTCTTCAGATTTCTTGGAGCTGTTCTCTCTGCTCCTTTTGGTCTTCTCCTGCCCATGCCTCTTAGTTGTGCTGCTCCTGTTGGATGTGGCTTTGTGAGGTTTGTTGCTAGAATGCTTGCCCTTGCTCACAGAAGCGCTGTCACTGCCGGCAGCACTGCAAACAGCCACTTCTCCCTCTAACAGGCTCTCTGGGTTCTTTGGCTGGATTTTGGCCTTGGGAGCACCCTGGATAGGCTCGGCAGCTTTATGCTTGTTCTTCCCGACTTGATCAGAGTGACCCTTTATGACACTTGACTTTTCCTGCACATGACCTACCTTGATGGCACTGGCATCTTTGGCTTTCTTTGCGGAGGGAGTTTTGGGTTGGTCAAGATCTTGTAAGGAACTGAAGATGGAGGGACTTTGGGGTCGGTCAAGATCTTGTAAGGAACTGAAAATCGAGGGGAGGTGAGTATCCTCCACCAATGTAGTGATGTCTGCAAGATCACTGCTAGACTCGATCCCATTGTGAAGTATCCCTTGGCCCTCAAGACTCAGGCTGTTCTTTCTCCGATTCGCATTTTTGGAACCAGGCTGCTCCTCTTGGCCACGAGGATCAATGCAGTACAGAAGCTGGTGAATATCAGGAATTTCTAAAGGAAGCAGTGGAGGATCTTGATTTTCCCTTGGGACCTGGTAGGCATCTAGAGGCTTTGAAAGCTTAGTTTTCGTCTCATTCAAATCCTTATTGTCGGTTTTGTCCTGGCTTGGAGCTGGAGACACTGTCAAGAGATTAGTTGGACTCTGGACTGGAACTATCGTCGAAATGTCCCCAAGCTCAGGTGATGGATTACTCTCAAGTAATAACTGGCTATTTTTGCTACTGCAGGACTTGGAGAATTCTGAAGTTTGTGCCAGACAAAATATCTGGCTTGGAGATTGCAATCCCAGGGAAGTATCCATCCCCAGGGAAGTTTCCGTCACTGCAAAGGAATCAAGGAAGAAGTCAATCCCTGGTAAGTGAGATGCTCCCCCTACATACAAATGCAGCAGTCAGATACCTTTCTAACATGGGCAAGGCATTTCTACCAGCTCTTCTTCAGGACCATGGACAAGACCCTGCAGTAGGGGATAGGCAGTGACTGCTCTCTTACTGGTTATCGTTTGATGTGATTGTTCCTTGGCTTTCTTTGAATTTCATAGGGTTGTTGTAAACCAAATAAGTGAAAGTGATTTTTAAATAGGAGATGTTTGATAAAGCCTCACATTCTCATATAGGGTCCTTTCCAGGCTCTTCACTCTCCTGAGAGAGTAAGAAACCTTTATGCCATGGCCTAGGGGAGAGAGTGGAGGCCCTTCCACATGAAATATATAAGCAAGCACAGATTTTGAGCCTTTTTGTTTTGGAGAGGATGTCAGAGCACAAAGCCTTAAGTCCTAATGTAAGTTAAGGAAAATAAAAATGTCACTGCCAAGGTAAGACTTCTGAAGTGCCTTCCAAAGAGACTAAAGTAATAGATTAAGGAAGGAAGTTACAGAGTCTGGTGCAAGGGAGCCGATCAGCCAGGGCACTATAAAGTGTTGTATCTTTTGGGACTCTCTTATATATGGCATAGATGGCCATTATAGTGTTCAACTTTCCCATTTTGAAGGTGTTCTTTGAAGGACTCTGAAAATGGAGAGCAATGCCCAAGAATAGTGATTGAAGTCTCAGGATTTAAATTCTGCCTATCCGTGGACTTACCACTCGGCTATAGATTTGACCCTCCCTTTGAATGCTGCGTTTATTCCTCTCCTTTCTTGTTGGTTGTACTCACCTTCAAAACTGGTTTCTGTGATGGGTTGAGCAGACACAGGGTAATACATGCCAGTAGTTGAGACTGTTGGTAGAACATTTGTGGGCTGAACCTCCTTTAGCACCATCACCATTTCTGGTTGATGGGCTGATACCCTATTTCCTGTGTATGACACAGAGCCATAGGATTGCAGCCAGGGACCAGGTTCTCCAGATAGTTGAGGCCCCAGTGTGCCTAGATTATAGTAATAGACCTGGCTTCCTTTCTGGTAGGGAAGTGACAGGCTATGGCCCTGCTGCTTTGGAATTTGAGATTGTGTCCCCTGAACAAGGCTGGCAGATAGTGTTGGATACAGAGGGACTATAATATTGGCATCTGAAGTTTTATCATGCTGGGCTGTCATAGACATGGAAGAGACAGCTGTGTTCTGGTCAATGACAGTCACAGTGAAGTCCCTGAGTGAGGATGGCTTCTGTGCTGTGCTTGCTGTAATGTCCCACTCAAAAACGCCTGAGGAAGAGGCAGCTGAAGTAGAGCAGTGGCTCTGGCCACTAACCCCAGACAACATAGTTGTGCTAGAATGTTGGTAAAGGTAGGCACTGCCCGTGAGTGGCTGGAAAGAGGTGCCAGAGGCTGATGGCAGTAGCCATGCTGAGCTAACAGCTGGAGCAGAGGCTCTGGAGAAGTTGGAGATGGCTTCCTGTAAAGGAAGCCGCATCGCTCACCACAGGAAGTGAGAGCTGCAGAGAATTTGCAGTTCCAACTAAAGAGGCATTTTGGAAATCTTCTGTAGGAAAGAAGAGAGAGATGAATAAAATTATGAGATTGAAAAATTTTCACCTGATTTGGAGAACAGCATTTTCATAAGGTTGTTTCGATCAAGAAGCCTCTAATACCAATACTCACTGAGATTCCAAAAGCCAAGCACTTTATGATGGCCCTGAGTGCCGAAGCAGTTTGGTCCTCTTGTGATGAGCTGCCTTTGTGTCCAGTTTGGTCACAGATGTGCAGAAGACCTAAGTGGTCTGGCTTCGTACTTTATTTCCTAGGCTAGAAGCAACTTTCCCCTTCCTTATCTTTCACTTGAACCTGAGCCAGTGTTGCCTCATAACTATTTCCTAGAATTGGAGCATTTTAAACCTGGGAAGTCCTTAGAGAATTTCTAACATTTTCATTTTATGAGTAACTGAGGCTGAGAGAGGTCCGATTGACCTGTTTAAGTTTTACCAGTATGTTAACATCATTCCCATGACTTCCTTGTCAGGACCCTTCTGTGAGCATAGACCAGAAACCAGGAGAAATAGAACTTTTAATATGGTAATTTTGACGTATGAGGATATAGTACAGCTATTACTTTTATACTCCTTACAGTCACATTTTGCTTTTAAAGGTCATGTGACATTTACTAGCATTTATATTTAAACCAGGCCATTGGTAAATCTGAATGGTTGTTCTTTGCCCTCTTGAAACCTGGCTTTTTATCCTAAGTCAAAATACTACCTAATAGTTTCAGAAGAAATGTTTTTTTTTTTTTTTTTTTTTTTTTTTTTTTTTTTTTTTGCTTGTGTGTTTGTTTTTTGACAGTCTCACTCTGTCACCAAGGCTGGAGTGCAGTGGCTTGACCTTGGTTCACTGCAACCTCTGCCTCCTTGGCTCAAGTAATTCTCATGCCTCAGCCTCCTGAGTAGTTGTGATGATAGGCGTGCACCACCATGTCTGCCTAATTTTTTGCATTTTTAATAGAGACAGGATTTCACCATGTTTGCCAGGCTGGTCACAAACTCCTGATGTGAAGTGATCTGCCCGCCTCAGCCTCCCAAATTAGTGGGATTATGACGTGAGCCACTACGCTCAGCCTGGAAGCATCATTTCTAAAACACATGTCTAAAATGTTTATATTAAAAACTGTCAAGTGTCATCTATATTCAAAAGGGCAACAGAAAAAATCAACTGAATGTGACTTCTGATAAGCTGCTTTCTCTGTGGTAGCCTGTTTCCTTCCTAGTTTATTTATCTCAGCATTTCCTAACACCAACTTCATTTTGCCCTGTTCTGAGTGGATTTCACTCTGTTGTCTTTCTGCTTTTCTTCTAAAATTTAAAATATGCTTTTTTTTTCTCTTGAAATCATTGTGTAATTCTCCAGAGCATATCCCAAGGAAAAGTGTAGGGGACCCTGTCTTTCTACTTTCATTTAAAATCCCAAATTCCTTACCCTAGCATATGTGCCTCATAACCCAGTAATCTTCATTTTCTCTCCGTTTAGTTCAGAGAGGTATCTCCAAACTGTGAATATTACTTCTGATTGTTTGTTTCAAATAGGGTCTTGCCTTGTCATCCAGGCTGAAGTCCAGTGGTGTGAACATGGCTCACTGCAGCCTCCACGTCCTGGGCTCAAACAATCTACTGATCCTCCCACCTCAGCCTCCTGAGTACCTGGCGTGCCTCCACACCTGGCTGATTTTTTTGTTTGTTTGTTTATTGATAGAGATAGAGTCTTGCCATGTTGTCCAGACTGGTCTCAAACTCCGAGGCTCAAGCAATTCTCCCATCTCGGCCTCCCAAAGCACTGAGATTACAGGCGGGAGCTACCATGCCCAGCTGAATATTAAAAACATCACTACACTTCACTAAATATAAAATAGTAAAGTTGAAATATTAGCGAGGGAGATGGCCGCCCAAAGTGCTGAGATTACAGGTGTGAGCCACTGTGCCTGGCTGAATATGTAAAACATTACTAAATTTAAAATAGTGAAGTTGAAATATTAGTGGAGGGAGTCTATTACTCATGAAACACCTCAGAATACCTTGCTAGTTTTCGACGCCACTTAGGTTTTCTCTCTGTTTCTGTTGAAATAAGCACCCTCAAAAAGTGTCTGATTTCATTTTCTGTACTTGTGCCCTTTACGACTCAGCATTAGGAAAGAAAGGGGCAAGAGGGAATAACCAATCTATTATGCTAATGTAACAGATGAGGAAACAGATTTTGTGAGAGAATAGAAGAGTCCTCTGAAGTCACACAGCTAGTAAATGTCAAAGCCAAAACTGAAATGAGGTCTCTAGATTTCTACTTGAATACTTTCCCTATTATTCCAAGCTGTTTGGGACTATAGGGGTAAAGAAATCTACAGTTAAGGGTAAAGAAGTCAAATGAAACACTGTCAAGAAAGTTTCTCTCTTTACCTGACATGGTCAGAGAAGAAGAAACATCAACTGTAGATGCAAGGGATGAAGAGACTATCCTAGTGGATGTCTGGGTGGCTGAAGCCAAGATGTGCATGTGTCCAGTATGAAGGCCACTGGTCAAACTGGTCACTGGCCACTTGCGATGATACAAATTTACAGGCTACCCCAAGATTCTACCAGGTGGCAGTAGGCCTGGTGAGAGAATGATGTCACAAAGCAGGCAGTTTAAAGGTGTGTGACAGCCAATAGGGAGGGCAGATTCCCAAGAAGATGGGATTGGCTGGCAGAGGTGGTAGGAAAGCTGAAACAGTACTAAGTGGCTGAGTTCCAGGGAGGTGAAATCCTGCAAGATCATCTCAGTGTTTCTTATACATGTTCACTAATACCATTGACCAATATTTATATTTTATGTCATATTTCATAGTATATAATGCTATACATTTATAATTGTATAGTACATACACAGTATCCTTGCAGAGAAAGGAAAGGGACATCTAAGCTGAGCAATTACAGTTGTTCTGAAGGCATTTCAGTGAATCTGATTAATGAATTTACTGCTGCTTTTAAGGGCCAAAGGAAGAGATTACTGAGCCCTCTTTTGTACCTTGGCTGAAGAGCAAAGTTCGTTGACTGCTCCTTGTAGGAAATGATGTGGTCCAAAGCACCTCTCCTTTAATTTCTTCTCCTTGAATCCTACCTTCCTTGGGCTGGCCCAGGCTCGGTCAGGTTGGACTTGGATCTCTCTTCTGCTGTTTTTTTTCCCCCTTGATTGTAGTCATTTTTTCTGGGCCAAGCCTTGATCTTGCGTTTTTACACTTGTGGATATGACTTCCTGTCAACTTCCAGAGCAGAGGTCTTCTTTTCCGTGTCATGACACTTGGAAAACGGACTCTGCTCATGAGAAGTAAAGACCAGAGATGTAAAAGACAAGGCTGACTGCAGACCTTCCCTCTTCTAGCCTTTGTTCACAATTCTTTTGCCCATAGTTTCCAACCTCTGGCTCCTTGGGCCACACAGACGTCCTGCTATCCTGCTGTTTTATATGTCAGAGGCATTCAGGGTATTGTCTTTCTTCTCACTTTGAGGATCCAGAGTATGGCAGTTACTTATAACCTCCTCTCCCTTGCAAACAGCCACTACAGAATCATGGGCCTTTAGAATTCCCTGGCGGCCATGCTTGGGTGCAAGGGCCAGGCAAAATGAAGAGTTGAATTTAGTGGAGAATTGGAAAGAGGCCAGGTGAGTGTACAGGAACAAAGAGATTTGTGTGGATTTTTTGGTTTCTGTGAGAAACACTTACACACCCTTATTTTGTATTAACAGAACAGACAATTCAATATTTTTTACGTAGCTAGATAGTCCAGAAACTTCCACAACTTTTTTTGCACTGAAGAAAATAATCATAACATATTTTTCTATTTTTTTGGTCATATTGCCTCATTTATATCATTCATTAGTATGTTTATAGAATGTAGATTGCTTTTATTTTATTATTTTTATTTATTTATTTCTGAGACAGTGTTACATGCTTGTTGCCCACATGGAGTGCAGTTGCATCATTTTGGCTAACTGGAAGCTCTACATTCTAGGTTCAAGTGATTCCCTTGCCTCAACCTCCTGAGTAGCTGCAAGTATAGGTGCAGGCCACCATGACTGACTGGGGTATCGCCATGTTAGCCAGACTGGTCTTAAACTCCTGACCTCACGTGATCTGCCCGCCTCAGCTTCCCAAAGTGCTGGGATTATAGGTGTGAGCCACTGTACCCAGTCTGTAGATTGCTTTTAAATGCCCTGGTTTTACTATATGTTTTTTCCTTTTCATTTTTAAGGAATACAACATTGTAAGACAAACTGCACATTTTTCTCGTAATGGTTGTTTATTTTGAGACATCATGAACTATCTTGACCTGATAGGTTTTGTGGAGGAAATCAAAGAGGGGTGTGTGAAAAAGGCACTGTGGTGAGTTGTGCTGTGTGCTCAAAGAAAGAAAGAGATGTCTGCAGTCAGCCCAAGTTGACCTGGATTGCCTTGGTTTTTGTTTCCCCAGTTAGTGCTTTTCTCACTAACTTCTCTTATAACTGTGATAAATGAGTTAGGGCTGAGTTGCTGGTGATTTCTGTGTGGGATCAACTGGTTTGGGGGAGGAAATCTATGGATATAATCACTTTTCTTGGTGGTAAGCATTTAGAGATACCTGAACTGATCATTTTTTTTTCCCCTAGAGATGGAGTCTCACTCTATCGTCCAGGCTGGAGGGCAGTGGTACAATCTTGGCTGACTGCAATCTCAGCCTCCAGGGTTCATGCGATCCTCCTGCCTCAGACTCCAGAGTAGCTAGGATTACAAGAGAACACAACCAGCTAATATTTGTATTTTTAGTAGAGGTGGATTTCACCATGCTGGCCAGGCTTGTCTCGAACTCCTGACCTCAGGTGATCCGCCCACCTTGGCTTTTCAAAGTGCTGGGATTACAGGCGTGAGCCAACATGTATGGCACTGAATTGATCTACTGAGGGACTTTTCTAGTGTGAATGAGAAGGTACAGAATGCCAAGAGCCCACAAGAGGATAAACTCAAGATGGGACCTCTGAAGATAAGTATTGTATTTATAGACCTATTATCTCATCTCTTCCAATAATGCTTCTAGTATTACGAGACAGGAATTTTTTTCCGTGATCATATGTGGGTGGGTGATGCTTATCGGAGAATAAATTCGGAAAGGGCTGGCAGTGTAGAGATAGGCTTACACTATACACAGTTTTTGAAGTTTTATTTTCTCCTTTCAATTTAGTTTCATGCCTCAGATAGACTGCTTCCATGCTTGTATGTAATGTGAGACTAATACACACTAAATATCTGCACACTAAATAGTGTCTCTTTTCTCTATGTTCCAGTGGAAATCAAGGGAATCCATAGCTACTTCAGATTATACTGGTGGTATAAGGTGGGAGGAATATAGTAAGATTATTTCTGATAGCAATAAAATGTTTACATATTAAAATATTCAGTTCTAACATTCAGTTCTAGTTAGGCAAATGCTTATTATAGGTTGACCTTTCTTGGTCCCCAGCCTCTATAATGATACTCTGTCCATAGTTCCAGCCACTTAACAATCACCTTCAGTCTTAATATCATCTTAACCTCTAAAATAAATCTTAAATGTAGGATGAAGAACCTACACATCTTGAGCACAATGCTCTGGAACTTAGCATTAAGTCCTACCATGACCTAAAGCCTCAGTTTTTATGGTTAGGGCTTTGTCTTGTTTCAGAGACCTACTCCCTGCATTTTGCACCTGTCAGGATGACTGGTACTTGGTGTAACATAACCAGTCCTTCTACCAGTTAGGCCCTTCCTACTCTCTCCATAGTCTCTTTCTGGTTTTATTGAAGACTGGAATCCCTCAAACTCCGATATGGTATCTGGGGCCCTAGCAGATACTGGTAGACTTGTCAGCATCAACTGCTTAGCTGTTTGGTGCTCTAAGTATGCCTTCGCTCCTGTGATTTCCACCCCGGAGTACTATACACTTGTGAAGGCATTCTTCTACCTCGTATTGGACTCAGTCTCATCTAAAGACCTACTCTTTGTCAGGTCCCATACTTTGTAGAAACCCTATTCTGCCTAGGTCTGGGTTTTGTTGTGTCAAGTGTAACTCAGTTTGTTCTCACCCCAGTGTTGTGTCTTTTAGCAAACTGAAAGTGTAAGCACAATATAGCTTTTCTGGTTTCTGAACAACTTAGGTCACATTTTGTATCTTGTCATGTCTATAGACATTTGTGCCATTTGTAGTTTCAGGCCACTATGTACCTATTGGATTTTTTCATAAATTCCAAAAGAATATTGTATTTTTAAAAATTTATTTATTGAGCTGGAGTCTCGGTGTGTTGCCCAGGCTGGAGTGCAATGGCATGATATTGGTTCACTGTAACCTCTGCCTACCACATTCAAGCCATTCTCCTGCCTCAGCCTCCCAAGTAGCCTAGAGTAAGGTGTGAGCCACCATGACTGGCTAATTTTGGGGCTAATTTTTGTATTTTTAGTAGATATGGGATTTCACCAGTGTGGCAAGGCTGGTCTCAAACTTCTGACCTCAAGTGATGTGCCTGCCTCAGCCTCAAAAAGTGCTGGGATTAAAGGCTGGGATCACTGCACCTGGCCAGAATATTTTATAATTGAATGTCAAATTTGAATGTGGACTTGCTGCGGTGGCTTATGCCTGTAATCCCAGAACTTTTGGGTCCCAGCCACTCAGAGACTGAGACAGGAAAATCATTTGAACCCAGGAGGCAGAGATTGCAGTGAACTGAGATGGAGCTACTGTACTCCAGCCTGGATAACAGAGGGAGACTCCCATCTCAAGAACAACAACAACAAATAATTGAATGTTCCTAATTGCAAGTTAGTTATGTTTGGCTAACGTGTCTTTTTCTTTTTCCAGTTAATAATTTATGAATATTGACACATTTTTAATGATGTGGAAATTTTCAGAATTGTAAATGTTTATGTATTTAAAACTGGTTGGAATATTACTGTCTCAAAAGTGTTAATAAAGCTACTGGCCTAGCTCTGTTAACATTCATTTATTCAATAACTCTGACCTTTCCGATCCTCGGTTCACTCAACTCTAAAATGGTTACAAACATTACTAAAAATATATGTAAGATAGTTTCATAAATTAAAAAGTAAAAATTACTTTTAAAAATCAGTAATCCTAATTACTTACAGTTTAATCTGGAATTTAGTATTCTATTTTCAGAGCTGCTTTAGGACATGCTGTTCCTTTGCTGTTCCACTTGTAGCAGAATTCAACGTTTTTCTAACAGGTATAGATTTTTATGCTTGAGATTGTGTGAAAACCTTGGACTTCAGCTCCACTCTCAGTTATTTCTGGTATTTGCTAAAACTTAAATACATTTGTCCACTTCTAGTATGATATCTAGTATGTGATAGAACTCAATAAAAGTTTGGCTGTGCCAGGCGCGGTGGCTCAAGCCTGTAATCCCAGCACTTTGGGAGGCCGAGGCGGGCGGATCACGAGGTCAAGAGATCGAGACCATCCTGGTCAACATGGTGAAACCCCGTCTCTACTAAAAATACAAAAAATTAGCTGGGCATGGTGGCGCGTGCCTGTAATCCCAGCTACTCAGGAGACTGAGGCAGGAGAATTGCCTGAACCCAGGAGGCGGAGGTTGCGGTGAGCCGAGATCGCGCCATTGCACTCCAGCCTGGGTAACAAGAGCGAAACTCCGTCTCAAAAAAAAAAAAAAAGTTTGGCTGTGATGGGAGTGGATGTTTGTACATTATTTTTGGAGGATAATTAGGTAGTATCTTTCAAAATTTTAAGTTTATATGCTTTTTATTCTAGACATTCTACTTCTAGGAATATAGATATAGCTGTGTATGTGTATAAGGATATTCACAATACAGCACTGCCTGTAAAAAATATTTCAAAAGAACCTGAAAACAACTAAGGATCCATTAAGATTGAACTGGCTGAATACATTATGGTACTTTTAATTATGTTAACTTATAATGCAATAAACTCCCTATAGCCACTAAAAAATAGAATGTAAGTATGTATAAATTGACTGGGAAAATCAGTGTTCGATATAAATTATAGAATATGTTTAATTGCTCCTTTTGTATAAAAATAGAGGACATACATATGAGTGAAAGTAAATATTTATACACAATATGCAAAATGTGAGTGTAAGCACTTGTAAATATCTAGACGAACACAAGGAATGGGGGTGCGGGGTGGGTACTCGGGGGAGGTACGGGGCGGGGACAGAGGGACTTCCCTGTGCCACACTGTTAACACGGTTTGAATTCTGAAGAGTGCATACAGGTCCTGATTGACCTGTGCTACCCTTCCTCTGGCTAAAGAGGGCGCTGTAGCCACCAAAGTCTTGTTTACAAATCAAGCGTCTCAGTAAGCCTGCGTGGTTACGCCCTCACGACCGACATGCGCAATAGCGAGACGCCGGAGCGCTGCGTGGGTTTCTTCCGAGTCTCTTCCGGTCTAGGATCTTATCCTGGGACTGAGGGTGCCGGCGTGGCGCTTTTGGCCGGCTTGGCGTTCTGTGGGCGGCTTCTTGGGACCCACATGAGCCAATGGCATCATCCCCGCAGTGGCTGGGGTCGGGGACGCGACTTTCCGGGACGCTCCTCGTCCAAGAAGAAGGGCGGAAACCACATCCCCGAAAGGTAGTACGTCTTGGGCCCTTGGCATGGCCTTTCCAGCTCTTGGCTTCTGGGCGTGGGCTTCATCTTTTGTGGTCTCTGCGTCTCACTTTTGCTGTCGCAAGCTTGGCTTGTCCGCCCCTTGCTTTGAGGCTTTGACTCTCTTCGCCACCCGCTGTAGCTGAAAGGGGCAATGCCTGTGATGCCCTGTGATTTCGCCTTAGTTCTGGCCAGTGCGCTTAGGTAAAGTACAGAAGGTTTGTTTTAAGGCGGGACTGTTACTTTTGGGGACACTCCTTAATTCCCAAAATAGAACCTCCTCAATTCCTTGTTACTTGGCACGGAAAGTGTAATAATTTGAGTTAAGAACTCAGCAGTAGAAGCTCCCTGTGATCTTAAATGGGAAGTTGGTTTGTATTTTCAGAAATCAGAAAAAGCATACATTGTTAGGTCCTAAGAGGCCTCATTGGAGAGATGTTCCTTTATACTTACAAATGATTAATTTTGAGACTTTGCACGTATGTGCAGTGAACTGTTTTTACTCCTTGAGACCATCCTCCACCATCTCATACCTCAATAAATCCTCTTGATATTATGTTCTGTCTTTTGACTGTCACCTTCTGTCAGCCCCCTAATACAGGTCTTGCCTGACCTGTTACAGTTGGCTTCTGATTACTGGATCTCCTCTTTGTTTCCATCCAATCGTTCTAAATTTTTTTTCTTTTTCTTTTTCTTTCTTTCTTTTCATTTTTTTTTTTTTTTTTTTTTTTTTGAGACGGAGTTTTGCTCTTATATCTCAGGCTGGAGTGCAATGGCCCGATAGCGGCTCACCGAAACCTCTGCCTTCCGGTTCAATCAATTCTCCTGCTTCAGCCTCCGAAGTTGATGGGATTGCAGGCACCTGCCACCACTCCCGGTTAATTTTTTTGTATTTTTAGTAGAGACAGGGTTTCATTGCATCACTCAGTCTGGTCTTGAACTCCTGACCTCAGGTGATCCACCCGCCTTGGCCTCCCAAAGTGCTGGGATTACAGTTGTGAGCTGCTGTGGCCAGCCCAATCTGTTCTTGATGACAACAACAACAACAAAAAACTTTTTTTTTTTTTTTTTTTTTTTTTTTTGAGATAGGGTCTTGCTGTGTCACCCAAGCCAGAGTGCAGTGGCACAATCATAGCTCATTGCAACTCAGCCTCCCAGGCTCATTCACTTCTCCCACTTCAGCCTCCCCAGTAGCTGAGACTCCAGGCATGCACCACCATGTCCAGCTAATTTTTGTATTTTGTATTTTTATTTTTAGTAGAGATGGGGTTTTGCCATGTTGCCTAGGATTTTCTTGAGCTCCTGGTCTCAAGCAATTCACCTGCCTTGACCTCCCAAAATTCTGGGACTACAGGCATGAGCCATTGCAGCTGGCCAAGAAATCTTTTTAATAGGTAATTAGTAAAAATTGAAATCGAATTGGAGTTGGAATATTGCTCATGAGCATTGCTCTTAACATTGTTTTAAGAGTAAAAAAGGGCTGGACGCGGTGGCTCCCACCTGTAATCCCCACACTTTGGGAGGCTGAAGTGGGCTTGATCACTAGAGATCAGAAGTTCGAGACCAGCTTGGCCAACATGGAGAAACCCTGCCTCTACTAAAAATAGAAAAATTAGCTGGGCGTGGGGGCAGGTGCCTGTAATCCCAGCTATTCAGGAGATTGAGGCACGAGAATGGCTTAAACTGGAAGGTGGAGGTTCCAGTGGGCTGAGATTGTGCCATAGCATTACAGCCTGGGCGACAGAGTGAGACTCTGTCTCAAATAAATTAAAAATATTTTGTTTAAAGAGTAAAAATGAACTCCTTTTCGTCTATAGTATGAGGCTACGCGTAATCTGGGATCCTCTCTCCTTCTCCAGCCCCATCTCTTGCCACTCTTGCTTGCCCTCACTTTCTGTGCTTCATATATGCTGAATTAATGCTAGTTAATTCTTTTTTTTTTCCTTTTTTTTTTTTTTTCTTGAGACGGAGTTCTGTTCTCGTTGCCCAGGCTGGAGTGCAGTAGTGCGATCTCAGCTTACTGCAACCTCCATCTCCCGGGTTCAAGCAGTTTCTCCTGCCTCAGCCTCCTGAGTAGCTAGGATAAGACGCATGAACCACCTTCTTTTTTTTTTTTTTTTTTTTTTTTGTATTTTTAGTAGAGACGGGGTTTCTCCATATTGGTCAGGCTGGCCTTGAACTTCCGACCTCAGGTGATCCCCCCCACCTTGGCCTTCCAAAGTGCTGGGATTACAAGAGTGAGCCACTGTGCCTTGCCATTAATTCTAACTTAGGCTATTCACTGTAATTCTTAGCATTATTAAGTGAAGTTCACAGTCCCTCTTCTAGCAGGTTTTCTCTTAAAATATGAACTTGGAAGTTCCCTAGTAATTGAACTTGATGGCGTCAGTCATATGAAAACTAAAACCACGAAGTGAAATAATTGAATTATTTCAGTGAATATATTTATATTAATGGCACTTTAGTATCTGGTACTCAGCGAAGTTTTGTCAGGAATACAGAAGTTCTGGGTATCTCTTTTTTATATAGGCCTTATTTGATGAAAACTTTGTGCTGTTTTGTTGCCGTGTTTCCGTTTTCATGATGGGAAACAGGAGAGAAAGACTATAGGTCGTTACTTGGTGGGGTTGAGTAAGGGGAATGGCGAAATGCAAAGCAGAGAGAAGAGAGGACATGTTATGTGGGCTGTGATTCCCATTTTCAAGAAGTCTTATTCTGTGCAATAAGACGAAGCTAACATACAATTTGGCTAACAAAAAATGTATCTAATAGGTGGAAAGACTATCTCCCAATTGGCCAGCGGATGCCTGGGACTCGTTTCATAGCTTTCAAAGTTCCTTTGCAAAAGGTAAGTGAAGTTAATTCAGTATTCTTTCAGACATTTAAATTCACCATGCAGAACACTGTTCTCAGCTCTATCACATTCTATTTGCTTTTTTTTAGCAAATACTTTGTAATGACCCCTTTACTATCCTGAGATGAAGTTCATAGATACATACAACCTGCTTTAATATTTTAAAGAAAAATGCCAATTCACACCCTAACTATAATATAAAGAATAAAATAAAATTAATTTATAATAAACTGTTTATTTTTGTATATAGATGCTTGGACATAACTGCATTAAAAGACAGAGTAATAGTTGCCTGTGCCTTGAATTCAATAACTACAAATGTAGACTGATCTCGGTGGCTGATACTGCCTTATTGGTAGGATTTTCTATAATAGATTTCCAAACAAAAACAAAGTGTAGTCTTCATTTGGTTGATAAAGTAATTGCTGTCTTGGAAAATTCAATATATATTAAAATTGTACAAAAATAATTTGTGATTATTTGTGAAATGGAGTGGGGTTCTAAGGCCAAGCTAAATATGAACAACTTTTTATGTATATTGTTGAATAGGGCATTCAAAAGCCATTCAGGATGTGGGACACATTTGTAGGACTGTTCTGAATTTGGCAAGCTGTCTAGAATTTGTAACCCTTACCCACTTAATGTCAGTGGGCCTCTTTTCCTCCCATGGACGCAATGAAAAATGTGCCCTGGATCATCAAGGTGAGGGTTTCCGTGTGGAAAATCTCAAGATTGTGGGGTTTTTTTTGGAACTAGGAAAAGAATAGGAGGGGACAGCTTTTGACAGCCATAAAAAAGATGAGAAGATGAAGACAAATATTGTTTTCTAGATTCTGTGTCTTACTTCCCCAGCATAGCTCAGCTTAGTATCAAGAGAAGCCCACTTGAAATGTTTTGGGAATTTACTTAATTTGTGACTCATAGATCAGATTTCCTTTTTCAGCTGCTATGTCAGCTTCTCTGCACGTCTGGGCTTAAAAGTGAGTCATTTCAGGCCAGGCTCGGTGGATCATGTTTGTAATCCCAGTACTTTGAGAGGCCAAGGTGGGTGGATCTCTTGAGTCCGGTAGTTTTAGACCAGCCTGGGCAACATTGTGAAATCCTGACTCTACAAAAAAAATTAACCAGGCATGGTGGTGCGTGCTTGTGGTCTCTGCTGCTCGAGAGGCTGAGGTGGGAGGATCGATTGAGCCCAGGAGGTCAAGGCTGCAGTGAGTCACTATCATGCCCCTATACTCCAGCCTGGGCCACAAAGTGAGACCCTGTCTCTAAAAAAAAAAAAAAAAAAAAAAAAAAAAAAGAAAAAGGAGTTGTTGGAGGTACAGGGAATTTTTAGGGAAGTGAAACTATTCTCTATGATATTATAAGGGTAGATACATGTCGTTATATATTGATCAAAACTCGTAAAAGGATTTCACATATCATAACATATTTCACAACAATCCTGTGCTGATGAAGTAGCAGTAGTACTGCTATCTCTTCTTGAGTGCTTATTCTGCACTAGCTCAGAGGATAGATGGTTACAACTAATAAATAATTTTATAGATAATGAAACAGGCTCAGAAAAGGAAGAATCAAAACTTCAACTTCTTTCTCTCTCATTGTTTTATGGCAAAATATGTGTAACATAATATGTACATGTAATGCACAACACAGAATGACTCATGCATACCTACACTCTAGACTTTGGTCATAATGATGTGTCAAAATGGGTTCTTCAGTTGTAACAAATGGACCACACTGGTATGGAATGTGGATAGTGGGGAAGTCTGGGTGGGGTGGGAGAGGGAAAGTACATGTGAGAAGTGTCTGTGCTTTTGGCTCAGTTTTGCTGTGAACCTTAAAATGCTCTGAAAACTAGTATATTTTTTAAAAAGTACGCTGCTGGCACCTGAATAGCCAGACAGATTGATGGAACAGAGCACAAAGTTAAAAAATTAAGCCACATACATAAAAGAATATTAAAAAATGAAGGCCATCCTTCATATATGTAGACATGTAAGAAATATTTGTGAGGCTGAGACAGGAGGATTGCTTGAGCTCAGGAGTTTGATATCAGCCTGGGCAACATGGCAAGAGCCTATCTCTTTAAAAAAAAAAATGTAATCTGGACGTGGTGATTTATACCTGTAGTCTCACCTAATTGGGAGGCTGAGATGGAGGATTGCCTGAGTCTGGGAGGTGGAGGCTACAGTGAGCCATGTTTCTGCCACTGCACTCCAGCCTGGATGACAGAGCTACAGTGGTGAATAAAATCTTGTTGGAGTTTACAGTCTTATTAAAAGACCAACATGAAACGAATACAGAAATAAATATTCGAAGTGGGCTTATTTTTTTCTTTCTGATCACTCTGGCAGAAAAGATTGTTATAATATACCTTCTGCATTCCAAGAGAGTGGAAACTTTCCTTTGAATCTCATTGTAAGCATCACAGGACTTGAATAAATGCATAATGTAAAATAGGATTTTAAGCACATATTTGCTCTGATTTCATTCTCTCTGACAGAGTTTTGAAAAGAAACTTGATCCAGAAGAATGTTTTTCCCCTTTGGATCTTTTTAACAAAGTACGAGAACAAAATGAAGAACTTGGACTGATTATTGATTTAACATGTACTCAACGCTATTATAAACCAGAGGCAAGTGGAACCCTCAATAGAAAAGTTCTTTATTCTGATACAAAAATAATTTATAGTGATTCAGTAATAATTCAGTAATCATCTTGTGCTAATGTGGAGCCTGGCCTTCTTTGATGGGTATTAAGGTTAAAAAAGAACCAAGTGCTTTCCTTAATTATGTTTTTAATTGCTATCTCAAATGAAATTGAAGAAATGAACTAAAATATTTGGCAGTAGGCTGTGTGCGTGCCTAAGAAATTCTATAAGCTTCCATAATCTATATTTTGAAAATGAAGTAAACTTAACTAATACTAGCAGTGGCCTGAAAGAAAGAAAGGAATATCCAATATGTCTTAGCACTTATTTTAAGCAGTTGCCTGAGTATGCATAAGCATCATGGTAAAAGACAATTCTCTAAGTGTATGATTTCTTTTCCCAGTGTCTATTGATACAATACAGAGATTCAAATATTGTTTTGGCCCCATTTAGCATCTCAGTGTGAAAGAGTGATCCTTTTTCTGACCAGTTCCATGGCTTTTGGAAACAATAATATCTAATGTTAGTTAATATTTGTACAGCAGTCTGCCACCTAAAAAATACTTTCAGGTGGGTGTGGTGGCCTCTGCCTGTAATCCCAGAACTTTGGAAGGTTGAGGCGGATGGATCATCTGAGGTCAGGAGTTTGAGTCCAGCCTTGCCAGCATGGTGAAATCCCGTCTCTATTAAAAATACAAAAACATTAGCCGGGTGTGGTGGCACACACTTGTAATCCCATCTACTAGGGAGGCTGAGGCAGGAGAATTGCTTGTACCCGGGAAGCTGAGGTTTCAGTGAGCCAAGATCATGCCACTGCACAACAGCCTGGGCGTCAGAGCAAGACTTCAACAAAAAAAAAGGTACTGTTGAGTGCTTTTTTTGTGCTCAGAGGAGAAATGGTTACAATTAATGTATAATTTTACAGAAGATAAAACAGGCTCCAAAAAGGATAACCTAAAACTTAAATTTAGTTCTTTCTCCTTTTTTTAAATTGAAGCACAAATTGAGGCCCTATCTTTGGAGGTTGGAGCTTCTTAGATTGTCTTCTGAGTCCTTTTGATACAATCCTAGTAACCTTTGATCACACGTTTTTTGCTATTTATATGAAAAAATATTCCAGGCTTATCTCGTACATTTCCTGCCCCACTCTGAACTCAGCCATTTTCCCAAGGAGCTTTTGATTCCTTTTGGTGGGAATGATATTTAGAGATTATAGTCTGAGTGCGTGAGTGTTCAGTGCCTCTAGGCTCATTGTTTCTAGTCTTTCTCTATGGACAGTGCTAGGAAATATGTTTGTTTGTAATGTAAGATACATCCTGAGTTCATGCTGATACCCTCCATTTAAACTCAGAACTTCAGTTCTAAAGAACTGAAAGCAGGGATTTAAAGGAATACTTGTACACCAGTATTCACAGCAGCATTTGTCAAATGGTCAAAAGGTGGAAGCAAGCCAAGTGTCCGTCAATATGGGATGGATACACAAAACATAGCATATGCAAACAATGGAATATTATTCAGCTAAAAGAGGAATGAATTTAATACATGCTACAATATGGATGAGCCTTAAAAATCATGCTTAGTGAAATAAACCAGACACAGAAGGACACATAGGTAATTCCACTTGTATGAAGTACCTAGAATAGACAAATTCACAGAGGCAGAAGACAGACTAAAGGATCTAGCTGGCGGGGAAAAGTCAGAATTAATGGTGTAATGGTTAAGAGTCTGTCAGGGGTGATGAAAAACTTTTTGAGTATAGACAATGATGATAGTTACACAATACTACGAATGTAATGCCACTGAATGATACACTTACAAATGGATAAAATGATTCTCAGATACCCTCTTCTGGCTTTTATCTGAATCTACTTTTCTTCCAAGCTAAGAATATCAGTTCTCAACAGTGCCTGGAATTCCCTCCATCTCACAATTCAAATCCAAGTTCTTCTGACTCTATTCTACTCTTCTACTTAAATCGTACCTGCTTTATGCAGGCACTGGCCCTTGAACTGTAAAATATTAAATGGAACTGTTTATATAATCTTTAGTTAAATACACATTCATTCACATGGAATTTGCTTTCAGTTTTGGACATCTATTGACTATGGCATAGTTTTATTGAAAATAAGTGATACTTCCTGGTTGAAGCAATGGTAGAAAGAATGGCTCTTTTATCAGAATTGCATATTCTGATATTGGCATATTAAGTTTATCATAATCTTTTGTCTTATATTCTGGGTCCCCCAATTACTCTTTAATTCTTTCTCTGCAAATGAAATAATACACATCTTGTATGGTTTTGCTTTACAGGATTTGCCAGAAACTATTCCTTACTTAAAAATTTTTACAGTTGGGCATCAAGTGCCTGATGATGAGACTATTTTTAAATTCAAACATGCTGTTAATGCATTTTTGAAAGAAAATAAAGATAACGGTGAGTTTTTGTTGTTCTTATCTGAACTTTGGTGTGCTATGAATGGAGTTGGGAAATTTTTGGTATTTTTTGTAGTTGTAACCTTAGACCTGTTGTATTTAATAATGCTAAGATGATGAAAATGTCAGATGGTGCTAACAGGGCAAGATGATTAGGAATGGGACAGACCCCTAGAAGCAAAACAAGAAGGAGTCCACCTGTGGAATTGCCCCTTTGTCATATGTATTCAAGATATTTCTGCTGTTTTTCCACTTCTAGTACAGATGAGGAAGGATACCACCACCTCTTATTCTTCATGAGGGAGAACGTAAGCCAAAGGCTGGTGCTTTCTTGTTTCTGCTTTCACTCTGTTGAAAATAGAACCTAATAGCCTCTTTATCTTAAGGATTCAGTTGCCTTTTTCTGACATCTGTCTGCCAGAAAGAACGTGATACTTACCGTATTTTAAGACTGAAGAAACTTTTGTCTTCGGAAAGCCACTGACATCCACAGAACAAAGCCTTCATTTTGCATTTTTTCAAATTTCGCTTGAGGAGTGTATACTCTATTACATAAATCTGACAGCAAATACTCCTATTTTAAAAATGTGATAGAGTAGTGGAGACAGAATAGAGACAGAGGTGGGAAGATAGGGCATGGAAGGTGAGAGGTAGAGACTGGGTCAGTGGGTTTGAAGATAAAATTTCTCATTATAACCCAGTCAGTCACTTAATGTAGACACTAGCTTTTGATTATGTTAATGGATCTTCCTTGTTCACAGATATTCCCCTGTACTTTAACTTTAAAACTTGAGAGGTATGGCTTTCTCATTTGTATAAGTTGTTGTCACAGAAATACCACCTTTTTAGATATGAGGGTACAGCTGATGGCCTGTTCACGGCTTCCAGGCTCTTGTGTGAAACTTTTATATAGCGCCTCATCTGTTCTGTGAGAGCTAGGAGGTCCTTATGAATACATGAGAACACATTTTTAAATCTTAGTTGTTCACATGTTACACTGATTGTAGTCAGATGGAGAGACTGAACTCCATGTTGGTCTTCTGCCTGAATTGTGCTGGCTGGCTGTGTCTTGCAGTACCTACTTCCATAGCAGGCTTGGGACCTTGTTTGTAATCAGTTTTGGCTACCTCTGCTATAATCCCTTCCCACAGATACCAGGCTCACTGATAAAAAGAGGACACTACACCCTCCACCCTCTTCTAGAACTGGTAGAGACTCAAAATAAATTGATGCAGTAAACACGGAGATCCTTCTAGATTCGTTGCTAGAGCATGAGGACACAGAGGTGTCAGCAGTCTTTGTTTTTTATTATAGCAGCTCACAGTTATCTAGGAAAATAAACATGTAGTGCATATGGTTTAAGATGTGGGTTATAGACAAAAAGACAGTTCATTATAATAAAAGAATAAATTAAGTACAGTGAGAATATAGAGGAGAGATTGATGACAGCCTCACTGGAGAAAACATTCGAGCTGCGGAGAAGAGAATTTTGCCAGAATGAGAAAAGGACAGCCCAGTTTTGGGGATTAGGTACGAAAGGCACCAGGCTTAAAGCCATGGAGAGGCAGCCTCATGTGTGACTAGAAGATAGTGTGAAAAGGCATGGAGTTCATTTGTTCATTTTCAACAAATAATTATATGACCTAAGTTGAAGACACTTTTCTAAAAAGTGGGAATGGAACAAAGTCCTTGCCCTGATATACTTTACATTCTAGTGGGGGAGAGAAATAAGCAAATAGATACATGGAATGTATATGGTGATAAGTGCTTTAGAGAATAACAAAACAGGATAAAGGGGTGAGGGAAGAAGTGAGTTGATCAGGAAGGTCTCTTTATGAAGATGTCATTTGAGCAGAACCTTAAAGGAAGTAATGAACCAAGGCATTGGGTGTCTGGAGAGGAGTGTTCCAAGGCAGAGGGAACAGCAGTGCAAAGTCCCTGAGGCATGACTGTGCTAGGCATGTCTGAGGAGTGGTAAACAGGCCAGTCTGGCTGGAGTGGCGGTAATGAGGGTCATAGCGCAAGTAATGAGATCCAAGAGTTTGGGGGTGGGCAGAAGGGAGGTGGATCACACAGGCCCTCGTAAATCATACTTAGGATCATTGTGGAATTGGATCAGTTGGAAAGACAGAATGATATCAATTGATAAAGGATTCCTTTTTTTTTTTTTTTTGAGACAGTGTTTCACTCTTGTTACCCAGGCTGGAGTGCAATGGCGCGATCTCGGCTCACCGCAACCTCCGCCTCCTGGGTTCAGGCAATTCTCCTGTCTCAGCCTCCTGAGTAGCTGGGATTACAGGCACGCACCACCATGCCCAGCTAATTTTTTTGTATTTTTAGTAGAGACGGGGTTTCACCATGTTGACCAGGATGGTCTCGATCTCTTGACCTCGTGATCCACCCACCTCGGCCTCCCAAAGTGCTGGGATTACAGGCTTGAGCCACCGCGCCCGGCCAGTTGATAAAGGATTCTAAATGCCATGCTAAGTTTGGGCTTCATGCTATACTAAATTAAGATTTTTTTAAGCAAAAACAACCCAGGCTTATGTTTTAGAAAGAAAACATCAGCTATATGGAGGATCAATTGAGATAGAAGTAAGGAGATTAATTTGTGGTAGTAATCCAGGCAGGCAATAATGAGTGCCGCCTTTTTTCTTTTTTCTTTCTTTTTTTTTTTTTTTTTTTTTGAGGCATAGTCTCCCTCTGTCACCCAGGCTGGAGTGTAGTGGTGTGATCTCAGCTCACTACAACCTCTGCCTCTCAGATTCAAGCGATTCTCCTGCCTCAGCCTCCTGAATAGCTGGGATTACAGCCACCTGCCACAGCATCCAGCTAACTTTTTATACTTATAGTAGAGACAGGGTTTCACCATGTTGACCAGGCTTGAAAAGCATGAGCCACCACACTTGGGCAATGACTGCCTTCTTTACCTGATGCTACATAAGTCACAGACACAGATTTTGCAAGGATAAACAACACGTTTTTTTAATTTAATTCCTTATATAATTTTTTTAAAGGATGGACTAAGAAATACTGTGGTGTAATGGGAAAACTCTTAGGCTTTATTTTAGTCTTGTACTGTTTGCCTTGCCTTTTTATTCTATAGTGTGAATAGTGCTATTTACCTGAGTCCTTCACAGGGTATGTAGACCTGTGGCATGTGTGGAGCACCAAAAGAGAGGAGGAGTGGAAGGTCTTTGGGAACTCGAGCACTATGGAAACTGTCCTTATTATTCAGTATCAAAAGTGAAGGCATTTCATTTGTTTCATTCAGAAACAAATTTCATTCTTCTCATAGCCTGTTGTTGCTTTCACTCCCTTTTTGTGTAATTAAATCCATTACTGATGGGCATTCTTTATTTTAAGAAAGATGGTTTGTCTCATTGCACTTTTGACTGTTAGTGTGTTACCAGGCCTGTAGTTTACATCATTGAGTCTAACTGGGACTATGCAAACTTTCCCCAAAGCAGTGAATTTTGGCATTCTGTTAGAGGATTCTTTATAGTATGTTCATAAAAAGAAGAATTCTTCAGAGTTACTCATTTTCAGGGCAGTGTAATGTTACACACTTCTGTGTCTGCTTCAGTTACTTAACCTTGGATTTTCTTTTTATAGACAAACTTATAGGTGTCCACTGTACCCATGGGTTAAACAGGACTGGCTACCTCATTTGCAGGTAAGTTGCTGACCCCAGAGGGAGACCATTTTAAAGTTGTTATTGTCTGTTTACAATGTAAACTTGTTGTAAAAAAATGCAACCAATACAGAAATACGTGAAGTAGAAGGCAGTCTTGATCCCACCCAGTGATTACCACCATTAATAATTTAGTACACATCTTTTCAGACTCTAAAAATGCAGATACAAACATACGTGTGATTGAATGGTGTAATAGTTAGACATTGTTTTTAAATTTAATATGTAATAGACCTCTTTCTTTGAAAGTACTTGGACGACTCATTCTTTTTAAGGGCTGCATTCCTTTGCATACCAGTGAACACACAGGTCAGAAATTTGGTATTATAAAACATTGAAGTAGTGAACATTTCCATATAAACATTTTTTAATACATATGCCGTAGCCCTAGAGGTAATTTCACTCAAAATCGAATTTCTGAATCAAATCATGTGTCTTTATACTTTTCACGGATGTTGCCACACTGTACTGATTTATGTTTGTTCATTCAGAAAATATCTCTTGAGCATCTGTTATGTGTAGGCACTGTGCTGGGTGCTTTCAAAGACTTCAGCTTCCCTGTGCCTCCTAACAGTCTAGGGAGGGAGTAGATATTAAAGAATCACACAAATGCCTATAGAATTACAACTGCGACAAGTGCTGAGAAGGAGAGGGACATGGTACAATGAGAGCATAGAACAGGGAGGATTTGACTTCAGCAAGAGGACTAGAGGTTTCTGTGAGGAGGTCTGAGCAACTATCTGAAGTATGAGTAGGTGTCAACCAGATAGGGCTGTTGTGGATAGAATTGTGAAAATTAAGGATCAGCAAAGCCCATGTAACAGGAAAATGTATACTGTGTTGGAGGAACTGGCCAGGGAGACTGGGCCATGGGGGAAGTATGGCATTAACATGTAGCTGGAAGTAGGGGTAGGAGCTAAAACCATGCAGAGCTATGTGTACGGTTTTAGTCACTACCTTAAGAACAATAGAAAACTGTTGAATTTTTTTTTGTTGGGGATGAGTGTGGGAAACAATCAAATTTATATTTTCAACCTGTCATTTTGCTGCTGAGTGGAGAATACACCGCAGAGGGAAGGAGGTGGACGCAAGGATACACGTTAGGAGGTGTTTGTAGGAATTAAGGCATAGTGGTGGAGTGGACCAGGGCATGGTGGTCATTTTGGTGGAAAGATACATATTCTGGAGACATTTAGGTAATGTTGTTGTCAGGAAATGGTGGTGGATTGAAAATGAGAGTATGGAAGAAATGGCTGACAGTGATGGTGACTCCCAAGTTTCTGACCCATTTTGTTGGTTATACAGTAGTTGAGATATAATGTTGATATTTTTCCCAATTTTTCTTTTGTTTGTTCTTGGTTTCTGATTAATACTCTGTCATATTAAGGAAGTCTATTTTTAGTATATAAAGCATTTTGATATAAAATGATTCTGTATTTTCTTTCATTAGTTTAATTATAGTAATGTAAATATGTAAATCTGAAGTTGAGTCATCCTTGCATTCTTGAAAAACGTCTTTTTGTGGTCATGGTTTGTCATCCTTTAATAATTGCTGGATTTGATGTGCTGATATTTTCTTAGGATTTCTATATCTATGTCTGTAAGTTCAAATAGGACCTTTTTTGAAAAATCTTGATTTTTTTTTTCTTTTCGTATATATAAATGACCCAAATTATGTTGTTTTGTTAGATATTTGATTGATGTAGAAGGCATGAGGCCAGATGATGCAATTGAATGTAAGTATGAGGGTTGTCACTATTTTTCCCTTTTTGTATAAGTTAAAGGTGGAAACGTAGAAGAATTTCTCGTATTTTGGTAACAAAGTTTGTAATTCATTTGTTCCAAAATAAGATAGTTTTGCCAAAAAGTCTGTAGAGGTCTGTGGAAGTAGTGAGATATCACAGCCTGAATAGTGCATTTCAGCCTAATTTACTTTTTCTGGGAGAGATTTGCTTTTCGTGCAGTTATTTCTAACAGTTTATCCACTCCTCAGTATTCAATAGGTGCCGGGGACATTGCTTAGAAAGAAAAAACTACATTGACGACCTTCAGAATGGTCCTATCAGAAAGTAAGTCTATTTGTTTGTTTATTCATTTATGATGGTATTTTGCTCTGTTGCCCATGCTGGAGTGCAATGGCACAATCTTGGCTCACTGCAACCTCCACCTCTTGAGTCCACAGTTCTCCTGCCTCACCCTCCCAAAGAGTTGGGATTACAAGCGTGCCATGCACAGCTAATTTTAATTTTTTTTTTAGTAGGGACAGGGTTTCACCTTGTTGGCCAGGCTGGTCTGGAACTCCTGACCTTGTGATCTGCTTGCCTAGGTCTCCCAACGTGTTAAGATGTCAGGCGTGAGCTACAGCGCCCATAATTCTTGTGTTTTATATGTGAGATTTGTATGGCAGGGAGATCTCTTTTTATATAATTTAAGTTTCATATATCTATTCTTCTGGTAGCTTATTTGTTTGGGAAGATGTAAACAAATGGGAATGGGAGAAGGAAGAAATTGTTATTTTCATAGGCCAAAGTATAGTCACTAAATTGACTACTAAATTTGGAAACCAGTAATATTGTGTGGAAATACTCTCTTTAAGGAATTGGAATTCCAGTGTACCCAGGTCAAGTGGTTTTGAAGACTCAGCACATTTCATGCAACCAGCCCACACCATGAATAAGCCTGTTAAACAAAGACCTAGGTGTAATCTACATGGGATCCAGGTTCACTCAACTCCTCGGCATTTCCACACCCAGACCCCAAATTTGCAACAATCGGTCAGGTACCTTTCTCTGCTTTCCTTTTTCTAATGAGGTAGAAATTAATACTGTAATTAATGAAAACATATAATGATACTGATGAGGAATTCTTGCTGATCAGTTTGAACCAGGAGATATTATTCTGCTCTTTATTTTGCATTTAGCACTGGAAAAATCAGTTATAGGACAGGAATATGTGACTTTTCAGAGGCAAATGGGAAAGGGCCTTAGAAATTTTCATTGATACTGAACTTAAGCCAAGAGTTTTATGTGGCTATCAAAAAGGGTCTTATGTTCGTAGGCTACATTAATGTGGTATAGTTTTTAGAATAAGGAAGGTTGTTAGAGTTAATACAAATTAAAAGAAAAATATTAAAATCCAAATAGAAAAATTGCGAAGTATCTGAACTGATAAAGACAAAAGTATTTTCACTTAGAAAATGGGGGAAGCATCAGTATGATTAAAGTGGTAATTTAGTATGAGTTCTCCAGAATGGTAGAACCAGTAGGATGGATGGATGGATGGATGGATGGATGGATGGATGGATGGATGGATGAATGAATGAATGGGTGGGTGGCAGGGCTTTTTTATTAGGGGAATTAGCTTATGTGCTTAGGAAGGCCGAGAAGTTTCATAGTAGGCTGTCTGCAAGCTGGAGAACCAGGGAAGCTGGTGGAGTAACTCTCAATCCAAGGCTGAAGGCCTGGAAATCTGGTAAGGGTTGGAGAACACTGGTGGTGCAAGTCCTCAAGTCCAAAGGCCAGGAAGCCTGGACTTCTGATGTCCAAGAGTAGGAGAAGGTAGGGTATTCCAGCTCTAGGAGAGAGCACAATTAGCCTTTCCTCTGCCTTTTGTTGTATCCAGGCCTCCGGCCTATTGGATGGTACCTACCCATGTTGAGAGTATATCCTCCCACTCAGTCCACCCACTCATACACCAGTGTTTCTTCTGGAAACACCCTGACAGACACTCCCAGAAACAGTACTTCACCAGCTATCTAGGTGTCTCTTAATCCTGTCAAGTTGATGCCTACAATTAATCATCACAAATAGCAAGATATTATTATTTGCCTCCTAATTTATCAACTGTGTGTTTTTTATTTTTTGGTTTTTTGTTTTTGGAGACGGAGTCTTGCTCTGTTGCCCAGGCTGGAGTGCAACAGAGTGGCACAATCTTGGCTCACTACAACTGCTACTTCCCAGGTTCAAGCAATTCTCCTGCCTCAGCCTTGAGTAGCTGGGATTTCAGGCACCTGCCACCATGCCCGGCTTATTTTTTTATTTTACTAGAGATGGGGGTTTCACCATGTTGGCTAGGCTGGTCTGGAACTCCTTACCTCAGGTGATCCGCCCACCTTTGCCTCCCAAAGTGCTGGGATTACAGGCATGAGCCACTGCCCCTGGCATGTTTAGCAAGTGTTTTTGATAAGCACTCCAGTGTAGAGGTTGTCAGGCTGGACCTGCTTTTGCATCTGGGCTCTGTTACCTGCTCTGTGATCTTGGGTGAGATACTTAGCCTGTCTGTATTTCCATTTTTCCATCAGTCAGATGGAGATTTTAGTAATATATACCCCATAGTGGTTATTGTTGACAGTTAACATGAATTTAAACAGTTGAGCATATTGTAAACAGTTTCAAAAATACATTGGCATATTTAGGCCATGCGTGTTAGCTCAGCACTTAGGGAGGCCAAGGTGGAAGGATTGCTTGAGCACAGGAGTTGAAGACCAGCTTGGGCAACATGTTGTAACCCTGTTTGTTTTCTTTTTTGAGTCAGATTTTCACTCTTGTTGCCCAGTCTGGAGTACAATGGCACAGTCTGGGCTCACTGCAACCTCCACCTCCCAGGTTCAAGTGATTCTCCTGCCTTAGCTTCCCGAGTAGCTGGGATTACAGGCATGCACCACCCAACACACCCAGCTAATTTTGTATTTTTAGTAGAGACGGGATTTCACCAGGTCAAACAGGCTGTTCTGAAACTCCTGACCTCAAGTGATCTGCCTCCCTCAGCCTCCCAAAGTGCTGGGATTATAGGTGTGAGCCACTAACCCTGGCCAAAGAATTGACATTTTTAAAAGGTGTAAACAAACATTTCAAAAACATTTTGATAGTGGCAGTGAAAATTGGTATAAGCCTTTTGAAGCACAATTTCAAGAGCCATAAAAATGTTTTACCTAATAATTTCATTTAGAGACTAAGGAAATACTTCAAAATGCAGAAAAGTTATATTTACTTAATCATTCAGCACATTTCTCAAACTCCCTACCATGTGTCAGACCCTGGGCTGGCTTAGGATCCGGTAGTATATGTTTTGCAGTGTTAATCCCAGCATCATTTGTGGTCATGGAAAAACTCATAGCTGCTGTATTTCCAACAGTGGAGAATGTAGCTAAACAATTACTACATCTATACTATAACATTTTATAAAGCCATTGAAAGTGGTAGCTCATTTATCATAAGTGAAAATAATAGGCTGTGATTCAACAGTGAGAAAAAGATGCTGGAGAAAAGAACAAAAGGAAATACTAATTGAATTATAGTAAGTGGGATTGAGGACTGCAGCAGGAGGTTATTGTTTCTGAGATTTCCAAATTTTCTTTTGTATAATTATATGAGATTTTCTGATACTGCTTTTAAAACAAGTAAATTTAAATCCTATTTTTTCAAATTTGTGGCATGTACCATGGTTAAAGTTTTTCTACACTTTAAGATTTATGTATATTTGTTTATTAAGTGGAAGTAGCTGTGTGTTCTCAGTACTAAATAGCTTATTGTGTCTTATGTCAACCTTACCAGACTTTGGGAGAGAAAATATTTAATTATAGTAGTATGGGCATGCATTCCACGCATTTATCTGTGTAGGGAAAGGTGGAAACGCTTCTGGGAATCCACTCTGTGCCAGGGCATTGTGGGTAATTGAAATTTATTTTCTTAATTGAGCTTCGTAACAGCTCATGAAGGTGGAAAGTGTTATTAGCCCCTTTTTATACAGAACTTAGGGAAATAAAAGTTAAGTAGTTTATCTGCTAAGGTGACACAGATAGTAAACAGTATATATTACTTTGTAAATTTATGAATTTAAAATATTTTATCAAAATATGATTTTAAAATAAATAAAATTATTTTATTATTCCTAGTGATGGCTTACTACTTTTTGTTTTGCTTTAAGAAAATTTTCACAGAATCCAGATCTTTACCAGAGAGGCCATATCCCTCCTCCTGGTCCCCCTGGAGAAGATTATTCACACAGGAGGTACACTTGGAATGTGAAGCCAAATGCCAGTCGAGCAGCCCAGGAAAGAAGAAGGTGGTATCCTGACAATTACTCCGGACTATCCTAGTCCAGCGTATTGGGAATGGACCCAGTGATACAAACCTGTCCTGGAATTCCACCCGGAGACCAGAGCTGGCCTGAAGGTTACTGGTGGGACTTTTAATTAGATCAGGTCTAATGAGGTTTCTTTATTGTTCCCTTATGTGTTCAAGCTTAAGGAAAAATATTGCTGTTTACCTCTTCGCTGATAAATTTGCAGTAATTACAGCATTGCAGGAAAAAAAATCTGTTATTCCAGTCTTAAATTTTACAGCATTGCAGGAAAAAAATCTGTTATTCCAGTCTTAAATTTTTCTAAATGAAGAGAGTATTTTAGAACTGAAGCATTAAGAATTTCTCTTGCAAATTATTTTTAAAAAATTCTATCTCATTTTCCTATGTATTTCTTTCTGACTAGACTTGTGATATGTGTGTGTTTATGAACAGAAATTTTTATTGTTTTTGTTATGTTCTGTTGACCCAAAGGACATCTTTATTTTCTATAACTGTTCAAAATTTCTATTAAAATCTACCTGGGAGATAATTTCTTTAGAACCTAGTCATGATCTGTAATTGTTTTTTTGTTTAGTTTTGTTTTTGAGAGAGAGTCTTGTTCTGTCACCCAGGCTGGAGTGCAGTGGTGCTTATCTTAGCTCACTGCAACCTCCACCTTCCAGGTTCAAGCAATTCTTCTGCCTCAGCCTGCTGAGTAGCTGGGACTACAGGCTTGTGCTAATTTTTGTATTTTTAGTAGAGATGGTGTTTCATCATATTGGCTAGGCTGGTCTTGAACTCCTGACCTCATGATTCACCTGCCTTAGCCTCCCAAACTGGTGAGATTACAGGCGTGAGCTACCGTTCCTGGCCTTAATCATGGTATTTTTTTGTTATTAGATATTTCTTTCTTTGGCAGTCAGTTGTGGGATTTGACCAACTTTCTTTGAATTGCCAGATATGCTGTCTCACACAGGAGTAGATGAACTTTTATGAACTGTCAATTAAGCAAGAGAGACGGACCAATACACCAGATTGCTGATTTGTTAAATTATAGTGAGTAATTTACCTGGCAGGGTAATTGTCATCAGCTGGGTAGAGCTGTCCAGAAAACTTGAAAACTTTTGTAGATTATAAAGGTTACTTAATGAATGGAGTAGAATATGTCCATTTAAAGCCTGAGGATATCTGGCAAGACTACTGTGTTATTATTGCACCACTGTTGAATATAACCTCCTGGGATCTTTCTCCAGTTGCCTCTTACAGTGGAGTTGTGGTTTACCTCCTACCCCCTGCCCCAAGACAGGGTCTTGCTCTGTCACCCAGGCTGGAGTGCAATGTGCCATCTAAGCTCACTGCAAGTGGTGCCAGTGAAGCTCACTCTGCCTTCTGCCTCAAGCCATCCTCCCACCTCAGCCTCCCTAGTAGCTGGAACTACAGGTGTGGACTACCATGCCTGGCTAATTTTTTGTATAGACCAGGTTTTGCCATGTTGGCCTTAGCTCAAGCAAATCCACTCACCTCAGCCTCTCAGAGTGTTGGGATTACAGGCATGAGCCACTGTGCCTGGCCTATCTTCGCTTTTTCTAAGTTGTCTCTTGTGCTGCTATACCTGTGGAACACACAGATCAATTGGGAGGGTAATTATTTTTACTTAGAAAAGCTAGAAGCCTTTGCTGGTTCAAAGAAGTGTTTCATTATCATAACACATAGTAAGCCTTAGTAAATACTTGATGACTACCTGAGCAACTTGGCTTCATTTCATTTATTTTTTTCTTTATTTTTGTTTATTTATTTTTAAATTTTTGGAAGAGATAAGGTCTCACTTTGTTGCCCTGGCTGGTCTTGAACTCCTGACCTCAAGCGATCCTCCTGCCTTGGCCTCCCAAATGCTGGGAATATAGGTTTGAGCACCATGCCTGACCATTTAAAAAATGGATTCATTTTTTAAAATATCTGATTTTGAGGATTTGTGCCTCTCCTCCTACAAGGGATCACAACTCCTCACCAGCAAGGGAACAAGGCTGGATGGAGAATGAGTGTGATGAACTGACAAAAACAGGCTTCAGAAGGTGAGTAATAAGAAACTTCTCTGAGCAAAAAGAACATGTTCTGACTCAATGCAAAGAAACTAATAACCTTTAAAAAGATTTGACAAATGCTAACAAGAATAAACAACTTAGAGAGGAATATAAGTGAATTGATGGAGCTGAAAAACACAAGAACTTGACAAAGCATACACAAGTTTCAACAGCTGAACTGACCAAGCAGAAGAAAGGATATCAGAGGTCGAAGATCAACTCAATGAAATAAAATGGGAAGGCAAGATTAGAGAAAAAAGGGTAAAAAGGAATGAACAAAGTCTTCAAGAAATATGGGATTATGTGAAAAGACCTAATCTACATTTGATAGGTGTACCTGAAAGTGATGGAGAGAATGAATCCAAACTGGAAAATACTCTTCAAGATATTACCCAGGAAAACTTCCCCAACCTAGCAAGGCAGGCCAATATTCCAACACCACAAAGATATTCCTCAAGAAGGGCAACCCCAAGGCACATAGTCATCAGATTCACCAGGTTTGAAATGAAGGAGAAAATGCTGAGGGCAGCCAGAGAGAAAGGTCAGGTTACCCCCAAAGGGAAGCCCATCAGACTCAAAGCAGATCTCTCAGCAGAAACCCTAACAAGCCAGAAGAGAGTGGGGGCCAATATTCAACAGCCTTAAAGAAAAGAACTTTCAACCCAGAATATCATATCCAGCCAAACTAAGCTTCATAAGTAAAGGAGAAATAAAATCCTTTACAAACAAGCAATTACTCAGAGATATCATCACCACCAGGCCTGCTTTACAAGAGCTCCTGAAAGCAGCACTAAACACAGAAAGGAACCACCAGTACCAGCCACTCCAAAAACATACCAAATGGTAAAGAGCATCAACACAATGAAGAAACTGCATAAACGAATGGGCAAAACAGCCAGCTGGCATCAAAATGGCAGGATCAAATTCATATATAACAATATTAACCATAAATGTAAAGGGGCTAAACGCCCCAATCAAAAGACATAGACTGGCTAATTGGATAAAAAGCCAAAATCCATTGGTGTGCTGTATCCAGGCGACCCATCTCACATGCAAGGATACACAAAGTCTCAAAATAAAGGGATGGAAGAAGATTTACCAAGCAAGTGGAGCTGCAATTCTTGTCTCTGATAAAAGACATTAAACCAAAAAAGATCAAAAGAGACAAAGGAGGACATTACATAATGGTAAAAGGATCAATGCAACAAGAAGAGCTAACGATCCTAAATATAGACACACCCAATACAGGACCACCCAGATACATAAGGCAAAGAGACTTAAGACTCCCACACAATAATAGTGGGAGACTTTAACACCCATTGTCAATATTAGATCAACGAGACAGAAAATTAACAAGGATATCCAGGACTTGAACTCAGACCTCAACCAAGCAAACCTAATAGACATTTATAGAAGTCTCCACCTCAAATCCACAGAATATACATTCTTCTCAGCACCACATCACACCTCTAAAATTGACCACATGATTGGAAGTAAATCACTCTTAAGCAAATGCAAAAGAACGGGAATCATACAGTGTCTCAGACCACAGTGCAATTAAGTTAGAACTCAGAATTCAGAAACAAACTCAGAACTGCACAGCTTCATGGAAACTGAACAACTCATTCTTGAATGTTGACTGGATAAACAATGAAATGAAGGCAGAAATAAAGATGTTCTTTGAAACCAATGAGAGCAAAGACACAACATACCAGAATCTCTGGGGCACATTTAAGGCAGTGTCTAAAGGAAAATATGCCCACACAAGAAGCAAGTAAAGATCTAAAATTGACACCCTATCATTAAAATTGAAAGAGCTAGAGGAGCAAGATTTAAAAAACAACAACAACAACAACAACTCAAAACCTAGCAGAACACAAGAAATAACTAAGATAAGAGCAGAACTGAAGGAGATAGAGACACAAAACAACCTTCAAAATCAATAAATCCAGGAGCTGCTTTTTCAAAAAGATCAACAAAATAGACCACTAGCCAGATTAATAAAAAAGAAGAGAGAAGAATCAAATAAATGCAATAAAAAGTGATAAAGGGGATATCACCACAGATTCCACAGAAATACAAACCATCATCAGAGATTACTACAAACAACTCTAGGCACATAAACTAGTAAACCTGGAGGAAATGGATAAATTCCTGGACACTTGCATCCTCCCAGGCCTAAGCCAGGAAGAGGTCAAAACCCTGAAAAGACCAATAACAAGGTTTGAAGTTGAGGCAGTAATTAAGAGCATACCACCTTAAAAAAACCCTAGGTCCAGACACGTTCACAGCCGAATTCTACCAGACATACAGAAAGGAGCTGGTACCATTCCTTCTGAAACTATTCCAAATGATCTAAAAAGATGGAATCCTTCCCAAATCATTTTATGAGACCAACATCATCCTGATACCAAAACCCAGCAGAGACTCAGCAAGAAAAGAAAACTTCAGCCCAATATCCATGATGAACATAGATGCAAAAATCTTCAATAAAATACTGGCAAACCGATTGCAACAGCACATCAAAAAGCTTATCCACCATGAGCAATTAGGCTTCATCCCTGGGATTCAAGGCTGGTTCAACATGCACAAGTCTATAAACGTGATTTACCACATAAACAGAACCAAAGACAAAAACAACATGATTATCTCAATTGATGCAGAGAAGGCCTTTGACAAAATTCAACAGCCCTTTATGCTAAAAACCCTCAATAAACTAGGTATTGATGAACGTATCTCAAAATAATAAAAGGTATTTACCAAACCAACAGCCAATATTATACTGAATGGGCAAAAACTGGAAGCATTCCCTTTGAAATCTGGCACTAGACAAGGATGCCCTCTCTCACCACTCCTATTCAATATACTATTGGAAGTTCTAGCCAGAGCAAGCAAGCAAGAAAAAGAAATAAAGGGTATTCAATTAGGAAAGGAGGCTCCTGAAACTGATAAGCAACTTCAGCAAAGTCTCAGGATACAAAATCAATGTGCAAAAATCACAAGCTTTCCTATACACCAATAACAGACTTAAAGAGAGCCACATCAAGAACGAACTGCCATTCACAATTGCTACAAAGAGAATAAAATACCTAGGAATACAACTAACAAGGAATGTAAAGGACCTCTTCAAGGAGAATTACAAGCCACTGCTCAACGAAATAAGACAGGACACAAACAGATGGAGAAACATTCCATGCTCACGGTTAGGAAGACTCAATATCTTGAAAATGGCCATACTGCCCAAAGTAATTTACAGATTCAACGCTATCCCCATCAAGCTACCAGTGACCTTCACAGAAATGGAAAAAACCACCTTAAACTTCATATGGAACCAAAAAAGAGCCCGCATAGCCAAGTCAATTCTAAGCAAAAAGAACAAAGCTGGAGGCATCACACTACTGGACCTGAAACTATATTACAAGGCTACAGTAATCAAAACAGCATGGTACTGGTACCAAAACAGAGGTATAGACAAATGGAACAGAACAGAGGCCTTGGAGGCAACACCACACATCTACAACCATCTCATCTTTGACAACCCTCACAAAAACAAGCAATGGGGAAAGGATTCCCTGTTTAATAAATGGTGTTGGGAAAACTGGGTAGCCATGTGCAGAAAGCAGAAACTGGACACCTTCCTGACACCTTACACTAAAATTAACTCCAGATGGATTAAAGACTTAAACATAAGACCTAACACTATCAAAACCCTAGAAGGAAATCTAGGCAAAACCATTCAGAACATAGGCATAGGCAAGGACTTCATGATCAAAACACCAAAAACATTGGCAACAAAAGCCAAAATAGACAAATGGGACCTAATCAAACTCCACAGCTTCTGCACAGCAAAAGAAACAGTCGTTAGAGTGAATCAAAAACCAACAGAATGGGAAAAAAATTTTGCAATCTACCCATCTAACAAAGGGCTAATATCCAGAATCTATAAAAAACTAAAACAGATTTACAAGAAAAAAACAAGCCCATTCAAAAGTGGGCGAAGGATATGAACACTTAAAGTAGACATACGCGAGGCCAACATACGAAAAAATGCTCATTATTATTGGTCATTAGAGAAATGCAAATCAAAACCACATTGAGATACCATCTCACGCCAGTTAGAATGGCAATCATTAAAAAATCTGGAGACAACAGATGCTGGAGAGGATGTGGAGAAATACAAATACTTTTACACTGTTGGTGGGAGTGTAAATTAGTTCAACCGTTGTGGAAGACAGTGTGGTGATTCCTCAAGAACCTAAAAATAGAAATTCCATTTGGCCCTGCAATCCCATTACTGGGTATATATACAAAGGATTATAAATCATTCTACTATAAGGACACATGCACACGAATGTTTATTGCAGCACTGTTTAGCAAAGATCTGCAACCAACCCAGCTGCCCATCGATGATAGACTGGACAGGGAAAATGTAGCACATATACACCATGGAATATTACGTATCCATCAAAAACGATGAGTTTGTGTCTTTTGTAGGGACATGGATGAACCTGGAAACCATCATTCTCAGCAAACTGACACGAGCAGAAAATGAAACACCGCATGTTCTCACTCATAGGCAGGTGTTGAACAATGAAAACACATGGACATAGGGAGGGGAGCACGACACACTGGGGTCTGTTGGGGGGAAATAGAGGAGAGACAGTCGGGGGTGGGGAGTTGGGGAGAGAGAGCATGGGGAGAAATGCCAGATAAAGGTGAAGGGGAGGAAGGCAGCAAATCACACTGCCATGTGTGTACCTATGCAACTATCTTACGTGTTCTTCACATGTACCCCAAAACCTAAAATGCAATTAAAAAAAAAAAGAACTAGCTTTAACAATAGAAGTACAAGACTTTACACTGACAAGTACAAAGTATTATTTAAAGAAATTAAAGATGTAAATAAATGGAAAGACATCCCGTGTTCATTGATTAGAAGACATATTATTAAAATTGCACTACTCCCCAAATTGATCCACAGATTCAATGCAGTCCCTAAAAAATATTCCACTTGGATATTTTACAGAGATTGAGAACTTAACCCTAATGTTTATATGGAATTAGCAGGGATACAGAATAGCCAAAGCAATTTTGAAAAAGAAGAAATTGTCAGGAAGGTGTCCAGTTTCTGTTTCCTAACACCTTACACTAAAATTAACTCCAGATGGCTTAAAGACTTAAGCATAAGACCTAACACCATAAAAACCCTAGAAGAAAGCCTAGGCAAAACCATTCAGGTCATAAGCATAGGCAAGGACTTCATGACCAAAACGCCAAAAGCAATGGCATCAAAAGCCAAAATAGACAAATCGGACCTAATCAAACTCCACAGCTTCTGCACAGGAAAAGAAACAATCATTAGAGTGAACTGGCAGTCAACAGAATGGGAAAAAATTTTTGCAATCTACCCATCTGACAAAAGGCTAATATCCAGAATCTACAAAGAACTAAAACAGATTTACAAGAAAAAAAAAAAATCCAAAAGTGGGAGAAGGACATGAACAGACACTTTTCAAAAGAAGACATATATGAGGCTAACAAACATATGAAAAGATGCTCATCAACACTGATTATTAGATAAATGCAAATCAAAACCACGTTGAGATACCACCTCATGCCAGTTAGAATGGCGATCATTATAAAAAATCTGGAGACAACAGATGCTGGAGAGGATGTGGAGAAATAGGAACACTTTACACTGTTGGTGAGAGTGTAAATTAGTTCAACCATTGTGGAAGACACTGTGGCGATTCCTCAAGGACCTAGAAATAGAAATTCCATTTGGCCCAGCAATCCCATTATTGGGTATATATCCAAAGGATTATAAATCGTTCTACTGTAAGGACACCTGCACACGAATGTTCACTGCAGCACGGTTTACAATAGCAAAGTCCTGGAACCAACCCAAATGCCCATCGATGATAGACTGGACAGGGAAACCGTGGCATATATACACCATGGAATACTATGCAGCCATAAAAAAAAAACCTAAAATGCAACTAAAAAAAAAAAAAGGATAATGAAGTTAATCACTTGTTAGTGACTACTCTCTACCAAAATGACTATGTGCAAGCAATCCTGCCTGGAGGAAGTTAAGGGCAAGTAAACTAAATACCTGATGATTTTTATAGTATATGCTGTTATCATATCCCCACTGACATTGTTCCATTCCTCAATCTTGAGTTGGGATGTTGACTCAGTCTAACTACTTCGTGCTTGCAAGGGGTATCCCTAGTGGGCTGAGGAATGGAACTTCTTTACCTGCAATTGAAAATATTCAATGTCCCAGGACTCGGGCACTTTTGTTGTAACATCGTTGAACAGACACTTCAAAGAGGCGATCTTGCAATCCCACATGTATAGTGCAGCAGCAGTATAATCCACAGCCTAGGAGTATTCCTGTTCCTATAGTCATAGCTAGAATTACCAGTAATTTTTTCCACGACGGTCGTGACCAGAACCACGAAGATAGTCATTGGTTTAGTGACATCATGAAGTTAGACACAGCATCAGTTTGTACATATCTTGAAGGGCCAGGGTGATGTTTCCTTAATTGTTTGGAATGTACACATAGCATTCAGTTTTTATTATGGTAAAAGTTCTTCTTGTGCAGCCATGAAGACATCGAGGGCCATGTGGTTCTACAAGACTGCTTTTTTCATCATAGTCATCTGAGAGGTGACTAAAGAGATGCCTTTGCATCTTTTAGCACATGCTGGGTATACTTTTTTAGGATCTCAACATGTCAGATAACATTTTCTAAACTAACTTGGGGAACAGAAATGGATAGGGGATGGTCATACCAGTGGAAAACCGACTTGGTCCATTGGTGCAACACATTTGGGAAATTTGCAGGTTGTCCACTGGTTTTTGCCAAATGGCTCTGGATCTGTGGGAATCCCAGAGCATATTGTCCCATCCAGCTAATGGGTAATCTGGGCCAAAGATTAGTCCCACATTGCCATTGAATTTCATATAAAGTTAGCCATAGAATTCCTGGCCTGTGTCCAGTCAGTAGCAAACCAGTCAGTTTCCTGCAGCCTTGAAGTGTGTTCACATTGGTGGGGGAGCATCCAGCCCATATTCTTAGTGATATTTGTCCAGTGATCATAAGAATGCTTTTGTTGTTCCCAACATAAAGGGGAAATTTGATTTATGCAGCTGGTGGCAGGGTAAAGGTAGGGTAGCACTATCATTCAAAGATAATCCCAAGCGTGATAAAAAACCTTCAGTACCGTGGCTGTTAATAGCCAAAATGTGGGGGGCTGCCGAGGGAAATTCCTTCATAAGAAGAGTAGTATATTCAGAAGTTTGTTGAACACTCTTGATTTATAGTAAAAGATTTTCTGTGACCTGGGTTGTGAAGCAGTCTATTAATGCCAGGCCTTACAGTTCCTCGTGTTAGCACACCAGAGACCTAGTTTTTATTGGAATGGTATTTCATAAAAGTTTGTTAATGTACCCAGTGGTCTCCTTGCAAGGGCAAGACCCACCAAGGTAATACAGATGTGCTAGAGAAAGGTAACAGCCCTCAAACTCAATGAGCTTCTGTAGGCTATCTGCATAATGTGCCCATTGTAGGAAGATTGGTTTCACCAGATACTATAAGCATATTTTACTGTGGTATTTAGCAGGAATCTTAAAATTAAATGACAGAAGGTGTCACTTATCTGTGGATATTCTCTTAAAAAGCAGCTTCAGGTTTTTAGTTGGTTCACATGTCCATTCAGTTCTGTTAACCTGATAGGTTGGGCTGAGGAGGGGGAATTTTTATCCAGGTGTAAGGTACCCATGGTTTAATTCCTGCCTGATAGATGAATGCATGATCAGAAGGTCCTCATAGAGTCTTACCCTTTGAGGGACTAGTTGGTGATCCAGTCCAGTCTCCCTCCAGGTTTTAATTAAGACTTGGTCTGTACCTGGAAGGCATGAAGTGGTATGTCTGTGGAGAAAAAGCAAATTCATGAACAGAAGTCAGTATTTCATTTAGCAATTTTAAATAATGTCTAATAGCTCCTTCTCTTTCTAAGATATTATAGCTTGATCTTAGCCCCAAGGTGGCTAGGAAAGGTCTCTCATACATAATTTCTAAAGGGCTCAACTGGAGCCTATTTCAGGGAATGACTCAAATCCTGAGCAGGAGAGAAGGTAGTACTTTGTCCCAAGTTAGATTAGTTTCCTGGCACACTTCAGCAGCAGGATTTTGTTTGTTTGAGACAGAGTCTCATTCTGTTGCCCAGGTTGGAGTGCAGTGGCATGATTTCTGATCATTGCAATCTCCACCTCCCATGTTCAAGCAATTCTTGTGCCTCAGCCTCCCAAGCAGCTGGGACTACAGGCACATGTCTCCATGCCCAGCTAATTTTTTGCATTTTTAGTAGAGATGGGATATTGCCATGTTGGCCAGGCTGGTCTCAAACTCCTGGCCTCAAATAATTTGCCTGCCTCAGCCTCCTAAAGTGCTGGGATTACAAGCGTGAGCCACCACACCTGGCCTAATTATTCTTTAAATAGTTTGATTCAGTTTTTTAGTCTTTCTGATGAGCTGTGGCTGTGCTGCATGAAGTTTCCATTCAGTGTCTAGGACTTGAGACACTTCCTGTACTACCTGAGAGACGAACACCACAGCATTGTCACTCTGACTCATCAAAGGGAGTTCATACTGGGGAATTATCTCTTTAGTAAGGCGTGGGTCACCTCGACTGCCCTTTCTGTTCGGATAGGGTATGCCTCTACCCATCCCGTAAATGTGTCTACAAAAATCCAAAAAGATGGTTTTGTACAAAAAGATGCCTGGTAGCCTTCAGGTGCCTGTGGCATTATGGTGAAATTAACTTGCTAATTCTTGCATGGAGAGTCCCCTTGCTGTTGTATCCCCAAATGGGAAGGACCCAGTTTTAGGGCAGTTTGAGCACATTACCTTTTCAGCCTCCTGGAAGAGGTTGCAAGTTGAAACCACTGCTCAGAGGCAGGGGGATCGACCCCTGGCCATCTGGTAAAACTGTTTAGAGAAATAGGCAGTCGGTTTTCAGTCAGTTCCTAAGTTTTTGATTTAGGACTCCCAAGTCCATGCCTTGTTTTGTGTGTACAAATAAATCAAAGGGCTTTCTTAAATCTGGAAGGCCCAGCACAGAGGCAGTCTTTAACTTTTCCTTGACTTTATTTATTTATTTATTTTGAGATGGAGTTTCATTCTTGTTGCCCAGGCTGGAATACAGTGGTGCAATCTCTGCTCACTGCAACCTCTGCCTTGATGTCAGCAACCTCCGCCTATTGGATTCTCCAGCCTCAGCCTCCCAAGAGCTGGGATTATAAATGCTTGCCACAACGCCTGGCTAATTTTTGTATTTTTTAGTAGAGATGGGTTTCGCCATGTTGGCCAGGCTGGTCTCGAATTCCTGACCTCAGGTGATCCGACTGCCTTGGCTTCCCAAAGTGCTGGGATTACAGGCATGAGCCACCATGCATGGCCTCTTTGATTTTAATAAAAGAACTTTGGCATTCTGAAGTCCAGATCAGGGGCTCAGATTTTTTTCCTTTTAGGGCCCAACATTCAGAATCCAAATTCAACAGAATCCCACCATTCCTAGAAATCATTGCGGTTCTTTACAGGAGATGGGGACAGTTACCCAGGCTATTGCTACCAGATGGCCTCAGGGAGGGTTTCTGTGCCCCTTATTCACTTCAGACCTGAAATATTTTACTGTCTTTTGGCAGATCTGGGCTTTCTTCCTGGAAACCCAGCAGCCTCTTTCCACTAGGAAAATCAATGTTTGAATGGTATTTTCAAGGAAAGCTCTTAAGGTCTTGCAACAAAGATTTCAACCACATATTGTAAAAGCATTCCTTCTGTCAGCCAAAGTTCCCTTAATTTCCATGCCAAAAATTTCCCAAAGATTGTAAGGGAATGTTTAAGTCCTTGAAAAAACACTGACAGTACTGCTAATTGACCTGTGTTCCCGCCTCAGCCATTCAAATGCAAAGATCTCTTGTGATTCCTTGTCTAATGCAAAAGAAGGCATGTTTTTAATCCAAATCTGTAAACCAACATAGTTCTCCTGAAAAGGTGATCAGCAAGCTATAGCGGTTAGGTACCATGGGTTATATGTCCTAGACTATTTCATTACTAGCCCCAAGTCTTGTACAAACTGGTAGTTGACTTAATGGGACTTGTATGGTGGTAAAACAAAATGTTAAAGGGAGGATTATAGGACCAAATCAGTCCTTGTGCCAAAAAAGACTTCCAAGAGTGGTTGAGTCCCCTTCTATGCCACTTCCTTTAATGGATATTCTGTGTCTCTCTTTTAATTTAATTGTTATGGGTCCGGCTGTGACCACTCTCCCTGGCTTCCCCCGGCCCAAACATCTCTCCTTACCTGCATGAGAATTTCTTCTGGAATGTCCTGAACCTCTTCGTTTTCTGGTTGGAGCAGGAATATTTGAAACCTGCAAACTTATTCAGAAGGAATAATTATATCTAGGCATCTGGAGGGAAAGACAAGTTGAGCACACAATTTGGCAAGCAAATCCCAGCCCAGGAGGGGCACTGGGCATTAAGCATGTACAAGAAATTATGCTCTAAGGCTGGTCTCTCCTAAATGGTAACCTAAGGATTGTAGAAAGGGGTAATGGTGTCTCCCAGTATTCCTGTTAACAGTAATGATTTTTCCCAAAGTTGGAGAGAGACAATTGTTAATTACTTAATATGTGGCACTGTGTCAACTAAAAAGTCCATCATTCTGTTCCCCACTGTCAGTTGTATCCAGGGCTCCTGTGGGGATATAGCCACCGGTTGCTCCAAGTCTAACGGACTCCCTGGGATACATAGTCTTCGTCTATTCTTTTCTCTCCCCATCTGATTTTGAGGGAGACTGCAGTTGCCAGCTGCTTTGGTCAATTTGGGACAATCCTTTTTCCCATGTCCCTCCTTCTTACAACAGGCACATTTTTTTTTCATAAGGGGGCATGGACCTCTCTTTACTTTGATTTCTTCCTTTTCCTTTAGGTTGGTAGTCAGGTGCAGCTGCCAGCGAGTTACTTGTTGCTTCAGTTTGCACTTTTCCTGAGCCTCATCCTGAGCATAGTATACTTTAAAAGCTAACTCCACTAAATATGAGATTGGCAACCCAAGGATCCCACTTGCCATTTGCAGTTTTCTTTGAATATCAGGGCTTCTGGCTGATTAAGGTCACATTGACCATTCTCCGATTGTCGGGTGCCTCAGGGTTAGTGTCAATCTACTTTTCAGTATGTCTGATGGCATCTTTCTATGAATTATGAAGGGTCCTCATATGCCTGCTGCTGTACTTCCTGTACCTTATTGAGGTTCTTTACCTGAGGAACCCCTTTCTTTAAACCTTCAAGGATGCAATTCTGATAGTGTCCTAAGCAGGAAGGACCCCATCATTTACATCCCAATTGGCCTCTGTGTTGGGAACTGACCCTTGGCAAGGGGCGATTGTTTCCCGTCTCCAGACAGAGCCGGTTTGCCTCTTCCCTCGCCTTTTCTGTAACCACACGCCTTTCTTCTGATGTGAGCAGCACTTTAACAAAGTGAATATCTGCCTTGTGGGTTGATAGGTCAGAAATATAGACAAGAAGAGCCCAGCCATTCTCTTGCATTGGGATAGGGGGGATTACTGTTTTTCCAGCTGAAGAGATCCAAAGTGGGAAAAGGATATGTACCCACATCATGCCAACCTGTTGTCCATTCACGTTCAGTCCCCTAGTACGGAACTAACGCAGAGGAAACTGCCCTACACCAAGGGGCCAGTGGCTCCCTGGCCAAATTGGGTTTTCTGTTCATTGCAGGAAGGGGAGACCACAGCCTATCCTAATTCCATGGGGAGGACAGGTTTGGGAGTCTGCCCCAGACAATCCCATAAGGAGGGGGTGGTGCTGGAGGTACAGCTGACTGGGGAACGGGCAGAGGATCAGGATGATTATTCAGGGGATTCAAAGCACCAAGCAGTGTCCTGTCTTCCCCATCTAATGAGGGGGAGTGTAAAACCTTAGGTATGGGTTTTTTCTTTTGCAGCATCAAATTACACCTCTTTTGAGTAGGTTCATTCTGATCTAAGAGCATGGAAGCCTGGACATACAGGATTGCATCCTATTTTCTCTTGTCTTACAGAATAGTTCCAGTTGCATTATAGTAGCATAACTTAAAGAACAGTTTGTCAGCCATTTGTCCCAAAATTCTAAGACATATTCTGGCCAAGCAGTGTTACAATAAAAAAGCATTTTATTTTTCTTAATGAACTCATAGCTGTAAGTGGCCCAAATATGGAGAATACAGCCAAGGATTCTACTCTCTGGGATCGATTCCAAATTTACCATGTTCAGTCTTTTCACAGACACACACACACACACACACCAAAAAAACACACATCCCAAAAAAACAAAACAAAAAAAGCCCAAAAAATCACAAACAAAAAAACCAAATTCTTACAGGAAACAAGCAAATGGGTATATTCCACCATTCTATTACTCCCCAGAAGGCCCTCTTCACATTACAAGCAGAGAAAATGAGAGATATGCTGTGTACACCACAGCAACTTACCCTTCAAACCAAAACCGGAAGTCCAGATAGCAGTCTGAGAGGTTTCTCTGCTCTAAGCTTCTAGGGCACCAACGGCAGCTGACGCTGATGCAGAAGAGTGACTTTAGGGACCCCCAACCAACAAGCCTGGGCAGATTCTGGAACTCATTCGCCTGACATGGCCCGGGCCTGCTGCCATGCTAGCCCTAGCATGGTTGACAAAATCTGTTGCACAACCCCTTAAGTTAGGTTCAGGTTCCGGATGCTCAGTAAGCCAAACACTGACACATCAGTGCCTCAGAGCAGAGAAAGGTTTTTTCAAGTTTACCAAAATATGAGGGTGGGAGAGGACAATTCTCAAATTCAACCTCCCTTTGCACATAACTGGTGGCTTTTATGAGTAAGGAAGATGTGTGGGAAGTGAGATCCTCTGATTATCAAAGCTGCTTGCATCCCTTGGCCAAACTTCTGCATGCCACCAAGGAGGTCAGCATGACCAAGGATCATTGTTCTTTATAAGAAAAACAAGCTCATTAATCTTGCAAGCATCCCTTGGTGGTTAGGATATAAAGTTAATCACTTATTAGTGACTACCCACTACCAAAATGACTACCTGCAAGCAATCCTGCCTGGAGGAAGTTAAGGACAAAGAGAAAGGAAAGTAAAACAAACATGGTTTTTATAACATAGGCTTGGTTACATTGCTATATTTCATCTAAGTGATGGCTATAAAGTTTTTCTCTGCTTGCCACATTTAACAGAGATATAAAAGGCTAGATAAAAAACCCTTTCCTGCTAAAAGGCTGGTCTTGAAGAGTATATCACAAAGGCTCATCATGAATACATCATGAAGGCTCACTTGGGAAGAAATTGGAGCAAGACAACTGGTGAGGCAAAAAGAACAAGCAGGGGCAGGTATGGACATTCAGCTAGTCTGTTTTAAAGAACCTCTGTGCAGGCAACTTCTGAGGAGGACACTGTCAGCAGAAGTGCCAGCCGTATAAACGTTACGCCTTCATAAAAGTTTCCTGACCCTGTTGTCCCCTCTGTGTCTTCCTCATTTAACATGGCTCAGTAAAAAAAAACAAACTAGTCACCATTTGATGTCTCCTGTCTCATTTATTTAACACACTTGTTCTGTGTCTGGCTAAGAGGACCAGCAAATCCTTGTTTAAAAAGGGGTTTAGGCCAGGCACGGTGGCTTACACCTGTAATCCCAGCACTTTGGGAGGCTGAGAGCACGAGCTCAGGAGTTCGAGACTAGCCTGGCCAATAGGGTGAAACCCCATCTCTACTAAAAATAAAAAAATTACCTGGGTGTGGTGGTGCATGTCTAAAATCCCAGCTACTCAGGAGGATGAGGCAGGGGAATGGCTTGAACCTGGGAGGCAGAGTTTGTGGTGAGCCAAGATTGCCCAATGCACTTCAGCCTGGGCCACAGAACAAGACTCTGTCTCAAAAAAATAAATAAATAAATATTAAAAAACAATGAAAAAAATAAGGTCTTTAGTGGTCTGTTTAGGTTTTAAAATTCTTACATTATTCATAAACACATGAGTTGTTTACAATCCACACAGCTCCACCGAGACTATCATGAAAAAGGCGGGTCCTCCTCCTTACTCATGATTATCATCTCCCACAGGCAGCCACTTTAAGTATTTCTGCATTATTTATTGACATTTGCCTCCATATTTAAATAATGTGCTTATATTGCCACTTCGTTTTCTATTTGTGTTATCATCTGTTGATTTCCTCCTATGTAGATAAGAATTTAGCTCTTTCATAACATCTACCCACCCCACACCACAGTTGTGTTTCAACCTTTGGTTAATTCAGTGCTCTCAGTTCATGTTCTTTACTAAATATTCATCATAGCCACAGTGTACCATGACTGTTTCTCAGACCACTTTTCCCCCATCATTTTTACCTCATTTGTTTGCCTCTTTTCCTATGAATTGATCATGAATTCATCCCCCAAATCTCTGATAGCATTATTTAACCATGTGTATACATCTAATTTTTTTTACTTAATCTTTCCTGGTTCCCCTGTTCCAGGTTGAGTGCTGTATTCATTTGCTAGGGCTGCCATAGTAAAGCACCACAGACTAGGTGGCTTAAATAAGAGAAATTAATTTTCTCACAGTTCTGGAGACATCCAAGATCAAGGTGTCCACAGGGTTGGTTTCTTCTGAGTCCTCTCTTCTTGTCTTATATAGACGACCATCTTCCTATGGCTTCTGGCTTCACATGGTCTTCCCTTTGTATCTCTCTGTATCCAAATTTCCTTACCTTAAAAGGATGCTAGTTAGAATGGGACATCAATTTAAAAGAAAAGAAAATGGACGCTAGTCATATTGTACTGGGGACCACTGTTATGACTTCATTTTTACCTATCTACCTCTTTAAAGGCCCTGTTTCCAGGTATAGTTACACACTGAGACACTGTGCTTAGAACTTTAACATGACTTTTGGAGTGACAGAACTCAGCCCAGAACAGGCACTTTGGTTATTCCGGTTTTTTGTTTTTTGTTTTTTTTTGAGACAAGGTCTCACTCTGTTTCCCAGGCTGGAGTGCAGTGGTGTGATCTTGGTTCATGCAGCCTCCTACTCCTGGGTTCAAGTGATCCTCCCACCTCAGCCTCCTGAGTGGAGGATTACAGGCAGGTACCACCATGCCCAGCTAATTTTTGTATTTTTAGTAGAGAGTGGGTTTCACCACGTTGGCGAGGCCGATCTCAAACCCCTGACCTCAAGTGATCCGCCTGCCTCAGCCTCCCAAAGTGCTGGGATTACAGGTGTGAGCCACCGAACCTTGGCTATTCTCTAGACCTCGGGCATAGCTACTGTTCTGGGGTTTCTCTTTACCTTCACCCCGGTCATTTCTTACATTCCTCTCCTGTCTTCTGGATCCCATAGATGCTGTTTTTTGGTTTACTTCCCTGTTAGGTGGCATATATCCTTCAGCTTCCCAGGGAAGGTCATGGGGATATAAACTTTTCAAGACCTTTGCCTAAGTGAAATGGGTTTATTTGACTTTTTCACTGATTGGATAGTTTGATTATAGAATTTTAGGTAAGCAGTTTTAAATGCATTTATTCACTATTGTTCTAGATTTCATTCTTGCTGCTGAAATCCTGTGCTATCCTGACTTCAGAGCTTTTATTTGTGACCTGTAATTTTCCTCTCTGGCAGCTTTAGTATCTTTATCTTTTTTGAGACAGAATCTCACTCTTGCCCAGGCTGGAGTGTAGTGGCATGATCTCGGCTCACCGCAACCTGTCTCCCAGGCTCAAGCGATTCTCCTGCCTCAGCCTCCCAAGTAGCTGGTACTAGAAGCACACACCACCGTATCTGACTAATTTTTGTATTTTTGGTAGAGATGGGGTTTCACCATGTTGTCCAGGTTGGTCTCAAACTCCTGACCTCAAGTATCAGTCTGCCTTTGCCTCCCGAAGTGTTGGGATCACAGGCATGAGTCACCATGCCCAGCCAATGTGGGTGCTTTTTAATTCATAATGGTAAATACTTAGTGAGCTTTTTCAATCTGGCAAGTTACGTGCTTAGTTCTGGGATATTTCAATTTTATCACATTTTTCTTGGCAGTGGGGGGAGTTTTAATAGTTTAATGTGGGATTTTCTGAAATATAAGTTTATTTTTTTCTCTTCTTTTCTACTTTTAACCTTTTGTCTTTTTTTAAAAATTGGGAAGATTTTCTCAGCTTTATTTTCTACCTTTCTGTTGGCTATCTAAATTTTCTGCTATATATTTTTATCTGCCCTATGATTTCAGTTTCCAAGAGGTAGCTCTTTTTTTCTGGAAAAAAATGCTATAAGAAAAATGAATTCATTATCTTCCTCTAATATCAATTATTTTAAAATTTCCCTGAATCAACATTTTTCTTTTTTCCCCTTCTCCTGTGTGTTTATACCTCTGTCTCTGCTCTTAGATGTGTTCTTGAAATCTGTCCACACTTAACACTGAGGTACTAAAAGTTGATGACAGATGCTCTAGTCTTGTCATAGTGGAGTTGTAATATGGTGGTTAGTCAGCTTTGTTTACTTTCCTCCTGCTACACATTTTTTATTTTTTTCCATTCTGACGGTTACCATCACTGAAAGTTTAATTTTTGTCTACCACAAACACTTCTACTATGGAAGGGAGGCGCTTTCCAATATCCTGTCTGAACCTCCTTTCTGATGTAATACTAGCAACTGCCCTAGAATTACATTGTGAAAACAAGCTGATTTGTATTTTTTCCTCTAGGAAATCTTGAAGAGCTTCCGGTCTTTTAGAACCCATTTTCAGCTCCTTGTCAAGGCTTTCTGTGATCTGACTCCAAGCTGACTTTACAAAGCCCTGTACTGTATTCCACTCCGTATCTCAGGATGCCAGCCATTTCCTGAGTACACTGTATTATTTGCGCTATGGCACCGTGTCCTTTGTTTTTCGGGTTGTTCTCTTGGCTGTAATTTCTCTCCTGTGGTCTCTGAGAGACCATTATTAAGCCCATCTCCTCAGTAAAGCCTTCTCTCCCACCCTACATTATCACAAACACCCTGCCCTTCCAGATGGATGATTCTTCTCTCAGCAAAGTACCTTGTGTCATTATTTAGCATTTGTTTCATTTATATCTCACCCTTTATGAAACACCAATTCTGGAGCACTGTCTCAGATTCCATCAATCCCATCAATCCCTCGAGCTTCTGCTGGCAGGTGAGGTGATGATCCAGAAGTATGGAGGAGTCAGCTCCCTCTGGAGGGCCTTGATCAGTGAAATGCAGAGGACAGGAGGGAGCCTGGTAGGCAAACGCCCCTCCTGTCTCCCCACTGTGGACTCCTCTCAGCCATG